GACGTCGCCCAAGCGATGCTATTTGTAACAGCATACATGACTAGTTCTCAATGTATGTGTAACGATATGATACCAAATTTTGTATGCGAACGGAGAGGGGCTAGTGGAAACATAGTATGAAAAATTATGAAAAACTTATGTGAACGGAACGAGTAGTTAGCATTTTTTGCGAGAATTTCGCAAAACTGGTAAATGAAGATGTGAATTCAAACGGTTCGTTTAAACGCGCAGATGAACGATATGGTATGAAACTTGGTAAGTAAATGCACACGGGCTTGCAGGGCTTGACTGAGGAGTTTCATTGAAAAATTATTTGACTGAGGGTTGTGGCAAACTTTTATCTGAAAATTTTGCGCTACCAAAGAAATGGAAAAATGGCTCGTTTGCAACGCAGAGGTAACGAGATCGCGTGGGATTCGGTGTGTATATGCGCAATAGGAATAAGTAATAAAGTATGAAATATTATGAAAAACTTATGAGAATGAAGAGCGTGCTTAACTAATTTCCAAATTAGGTCGGCATTTGCCGACCTAATTCCCACCTGAGGTCGGCAAAACTCTCATCACATAATTTTTTCAAAATTTTTACATAAATCTGTTGTACACCTAAAGTTTACTACATGGTGAAATTTTGGTTCCGAAGCTCCTCCTCTTGTCCTTGTTAGAGCCCAAAATCGCATCAGCAGCCTAGCTTTCTAAGATGGAAAGCGCGCCCCAGTCAATCGATACGCGCGGGAACGGCGTCTCTCATTCCTATGACTGCGTTTTTTTTATATTTTCTCATTCCTCAATCATTTTTCTTGCTTATTTTTCTTCCTGTTTCCTATCTTGATACAGCTGAGAAGTAATTTGAGGAATTTGAGCAATTTGGGCGCTTTTGAGCGCTTTTAGGCGAAGTGTGGCCGGTAACCTCGTCGCACAAGCACAAAACGTCATTTTTGGGCTCAAGGGGGTATTCGTAAAATTTATTGGGATCAAAGGGGAATTCGTTTTGGAAAAACCCGTTTTCCCACCTCGTGCCGGGCCCTGGACCTAAATAAAAAATTTTTACTGTTACTTTTGACTACATCATAATGGGAAGTTAAACTGGGTTCGTCATGAGTAACATATGAAAAGAACCATCCTGTAATTCATTTGTACAACCAACATTTGTCGTTTAAAAGTGTCCAAAAAGAGAGCAAAAATTCTGTTAACAATAAGCCCTAAAGTACATAATCCTGATTCTATGAAAATCCACTTCCGCCTGAAATCTTCTTCGGGAAAAGTTCGGGTAGATCTAAAATTTTTGGAAAACTGATTAGCAAAACATCTAGCTCTTACTCTTTGGATCGAATTTTCATTAGCCAGCAAGCTTACAAAATACTCTCTTGGATTGAAAAAATTTATTGTTTTCAGGTATCCAAATCCATCGTCATTAACGCTGTGTGGAAATAAATGGAAACTAACATAAATGTGAGAACAAAAGAGGATAAATTTAAGTGGAAACGGAGACACAAAAACTTGTTCTTTGGACTGTCAGGCAGCATCAAAACAAATAAAAACTATTCGCAATCGGGTTGTCTCTCCTCATTTTTCAGCTTTCCAATTCAATCTCAATCTTAAAAATACTATCATTCCTCATTAAAACTGAAAAATCGGCCATATCCTTAATGTGAAAAAGCTTGACTCACAATCAACTCCATTTTGGGAAATGTGCAATTGCACCACCACGTACTCGACTGTGGGATACTCAAACAAGTGCAAGTTTTTTTTTACATATGAAGGGCAATTCCTTTTACATTGTATCTACCACTTTCACACAAGCACGTTTTGATCCATAACTTCAAGTAAAAAGATCATAAAAGGTTAACGGGACACGACATTGTAGTGAAAACTGGTTGTGAACCTTGAATTGAATCGTATTTCTCGCGCGACCATTTAACGCCTCGATATTGCGAACGCACAAAAACAGCTCGAAACGAGGGTGAAGAACAATTCGTAGTCCAGTTTTTCTCGACGGAACAAAGAATAGTGAAATATAATACTAGTTAGACTTATGGCTTATTGCCAGTGATGAAATACCAGAGCTAAGATTGTATCTAATTTTTAACAAAGATTGAAGCATGTACGATGTACCAAAAAATTCTAATATTTGTCAGAATGTTGAAAATAGAAGAGAAAAATTCGAAATTGTTTTTTTTTCAAGAAACTGAGCTCCAAACTAAACATCAGATTGCCCCCGAATAAATACGAGGATTTCTCAATTTCAAAATGCTGTAATAGTGTTGCGAAATTATTGGTAGGCTAAGTCTGATTTTGTGATTAATTCTTGGTTTTCTCGATTTACGTACTTATTTTAGACATTTAGAAAGGATATATGCAACTGAAACGATGAAATTGTGAAAAATAGAAAAAAGAAAAATTGAAACTGCTTTGTAAAGACTTACAGAAGAAAGATTATGTACGATCTATCATAGGAATATTACTCTGATATTCTGAAGTAGAAAGTAGCTTCAAAATATCATATCCATCATGATAAATTTCAAATGGGTACAATAAAATAAAATATAATAGCAATGCAATAAAATTTTGGATGAAATAATCAATAAGATTACCAATCTTATATCAGTTACACAATAAAATCTTGGAGTAAAAAGTAGATAAATGTTAAATCTATCATAATAAATTTAAAATTCTAGTACTAAAATAAAATGTAACAGTACAGGGTGCGGCAAAAGTCTGGGAGCCCAACTTTGCAGTACTGCAATTACAAAGATGCTGATGGTTTTGATTTAATTTTATGCCACAAGATGCTGCGGTCATCCTCTACAGAATACACTTTATTTGGCTGGAAATGGCTGCCATATGTTTTTGTAAGAATGAAAATTACCAAACTAGTACTTTTGCAAAGCGAAAAAACCAGAATTTTTGGTATTTACAATTTTTGCTGTAACTAGAAGCTGTTAATATTTTACAAAACTTCGATGCACACAACATAGAAGAAGCTTTGCGCTATTGTATTCTAGTTTTGCTTTTGCCAGGAGCTGTTCTTGCAAACGAAAAATAAAAGATTGCGAATGCTACTTACGTGCCAGTGGAAATCCGTCTTCAGAACAAATTTAAAAGCTATAGAATGCTCAACAGGCACTGTGACCAAGGCTGTAATTTTGCATATGTCTTTTAAATTAGAATCTATTGAAATTCGACTATGAGAAGACTTTTTATACTTTTTAAACGATATTTTCAAGTTTTTATTCGCGCAGTTTAGCCAAAATTCCGGTATGCGACGACATGCATCTAATTAAAAATCCAATATTTTTAATCCTAAGCAATGCAAAAAATTCTTTTGGAAGTATGTTGTAGACAAAAGTTTGCTCTATCACGCTGCGCATTTGCCAAGATAAAAGAAGCAGCTATTGTAAAGGCGTGGGGCGAATTCCATTACGATTACTTGCGTGCCATGATAGGTGGACTTGCCAAGATTTTGTAGGGCTGCGTGGAAGCCAAAAGAGGCAGTTTTGCAACTCAAGAACTGGGCTGTATCTGCAATGGTTCGAATTATGTGTGCGCCAAATTTTTCGTTTCTAGGTACTTCCCTTCTCGTTTTGTATGAAAAAGTACTAGGCTCCCAGACTTTTGCCGCACCCTGTAGTACAATAGAATCTTGGATAAAATAATGAATAAGATATTCAATAAATTGTAATATTGGTAGAGTGAAATCTTTGAGTAAAGAGTAGATTCACAGTAATGCATCTACTATAATAGATTTGAGATTTGTATCATTACTGAAAGCTATTCCTTAATTTAGCTTCCAAGTGAAACAAAGATATTTTCATTTTCAAATTGCCTTTGCGTGAAGTGCTTTTCACTTTTTTCCTTTTAGAACAGTCGCAAACATTTGCGTTCTCAGGTTTTTCTTCACCTTTCAAAAGAATGGTTTGTTGACAACGTTTCAGACAAGGTGAAACTGCTTCAAACGACGCATCAGTTTTTCATAAACGAACACGGGCAGAAGAGATGTAATTGTGTCTGAAGATAAGTAAAACGTAAGTGTTTATTTTCTTGCTAAGTGTGGTTGCAAAGAGTTTCTTGTAAATTGTTAGAAACTCAAAAAATAAATTCTTGAGCTTGATTGCTATGGTGTAATAAATCCATTTCATCCCATATCATAGCTATAAATATGTAGAGTATGTTGAGTATGAGGAATTTCTAAGAAAATTTGGTGCAACCCATAAATGTTGATTCTAAGAAACTTTTTAGAAAAGTTAGTGCAATCCTGTTTTAAAGCAGTTTTTTTGTCTAAGTCCTTTGACATCCAGTAACAACTTTCGAACTGAGGATTGTGAAAAATTATGCTGCAGCTCAATTTAGTCAAGGTGGACTTTCCTATTTTGAATTTTTTCATTTTTTGACTTCTGCAATTCTAACGTATCATTTTATATGCTGAGATGGAATGAGCCTAAAAGGCCGCATACTACGCGATTTCTGTCGCGACGCGATTTGGCAATATTCCAACTGTCCATAACTTATTGTAAGCACTTTTTAAATGTACAGAAGATAGAGCATTTCATCAATCCACGTAAGTTTCATATACTATGCTTTGCTATTTGCTAGGGTTGGATCTGAAGAGTTCTGGCGAATTGCCAAATCGCGTTGCGACTGAAATCGCGTGAAGTATGCCCGGCTCTCAAAGCAGACAAGCAGGTGCAGTTCTCATTTCAATAAGATTGCCAAAAAGACGTAAAAATTGCTGCAGGACATATTACATTCAAGATCTCCATTATGAAGAGTTTGAACTAAAAAAAATTGTTCGACAGTTATTGCTCTGAGCTTACCTGCATGGCTATGCCAATAGCAAAGTATTCTCAAAACTCAAAGAAAAGCGTTTGTGGTTTGAAATTCTTGATTTAATTTATGCCTACCTTTTGTGAATTCATAATTGTAATGGGCTCTTGAACGCTTCTTTTTTGTATTTTATTTACATCAAAACTCTGAGATATGGAACAAACATAGTATTTATCTTTAAGCTGCTTCTTCATCACGTGGTGTGGAAAGTAGCGCGTCGTCCAATTGGTCGGCTTTACTGAGGAGATCCTCAAAAGCTAATAAATAGTTCAAAAATAAAAAAATTCAAAAGAAACGCTTACCTTTCTACAACCTCCGGCCATTGAGGAGACTGTTTTGAAGTGTGTAAGCGCATCTCGGGCTACGTCTCTGTTCTTTTGACGATATTCGAAGATGGCATAGTTGAGGATCTGAAGGTTCTATACTTAAATCGAAAAAAAGAAAAATTGGTGAATGAACTCACAACTTGAGCTTTCGGATCTACTGAGATTGATTTTTGGTAGGCACGACGAGCATTATTTGCATCATTCATGTTAGAAAGAACGACTGAAAGTGGGCCAAATGAATTGAAATTGAATGTCAATTCCGTTGAAAATATTGAGTAAATACAATATAATGTCATTAAGAATATACTTTTGACTGGGATTGGAAGGCTGGAAGGTGGGGCTTCGAGGGCTATGGTGATCAGAGAGCATGCTCTCGTGAGAGACGCAGACTGCGTCGCGGGTGCGAGCGGTCGCCTTCCAGCCTCCAATCCCGTTGTAACTAGTGACAGTCAAACATGATTAAGCTATATGTGTACTGCATACCACGAGCGGTTCCTAAAGACTTTTAGCATGCGTAGAAGATTTCCAGGGAAAATTCTCTGTTTACTTTTTCAAAATACAGGGTGTCCCAAAAAAATGTATCGAACGTTTGATCGTTAATATCTCTCTTCTAAAGAAGTCTTTTCCCTTGCTTCAGGTACCAATCTGTAGAGCTGTCTTCAACTTAGACTTGCATTACAGAACGAATCACTCATCCCTCTTCATTACTGTAGGATTACGGTAGAAACTTCAAAGAGGGTTTTAAGCCATGAAAGGCCATATTTTGCCTCAGAAAGGAAACAAAACAGACTGAAAACTTTCAAATTAGGCTAATTAGAGTTGCTGATTATAACTGTGAAGTTCCCAACTTATTAAGTTGTTTCATTGAAGAGTATGCCAGGTAAGAGGTAGCGGCCATTTTTTCAATGTTCCTAAAAAGTGCGGTTACACCCTTTAGAAAGCTTCGTAATCTTGTGAATAGTTAATTATTGAACTCAGCGTCCATAAAAACCCTATTACACAAGTTTTCACATTTTTTTTGAAAAACTTTGAAACGGCAGCTCTTTCCACATTGACACCATATGTTTTAAGTTTCTACCGTAATCCTACAGTAATGAAGAGAGATGGGTGATTCGTTCTGTAATGCAAATCTAAGTTGAAGCCAGCTCTACAAAATGGTACTTGAAGCAAGGCAAAAGACTTCTTGGGAAGAAAGATATTAACGATCAAACGTTCGATACATTTTTTTGGGACACCCTGTATAATGTTATATTAACTGCGGCGAGAGCAATTATTCTACTTTTGTTGTGTCATAACTGTCACGGTCAGATAGCCGTAATTATGTGTGCAGATGCACAAATTCAGTTACACATGAGTCTACTATACCTGCCATGGCGCCAATTATCTGTGCGTCGTCACGCTTCAACTCGGACGCGGCCTTGAGAAAGTGGAGAGCTGAGCAATAAAGACCCATAGCGTGATGGACGAGTCCCAGATTGTAATTTATCCTGAATATATTAGTACAGAATTTCCCAAAAACTGGTTCGATAGCTAGCGAAAGAATTTGTTTAGTAGCGTGGCTGCCTTTATGCCCTTTTTCCTCAAAATTTGGGTACTGCAAGCCCGAAAAAATCTTGGAATTGTTTCATAAAGCTTTCCATAGGGTCTTTACGCCAACGCCTTCCTTCCACCTCCTTCTTGCATCTACTTCCAGGAAAATTTCGAAAATTCAAAAAAGTTGTGATGACTGTGGTGTTCAATGACAAATTTTGTTGTTAGGAAATAGTTAGCATACAATATTTTTTAGGAAGAGGTGGACAGGAGTAACTAGGGAGATACGCAAGAACACAGTAAGTATTAAGGTGTTCCGTAATTTTTTTCACCGTTTTTACCCTAAACATCAGCATTTTTCGGGAGGGGCACTTACAAAGGCACCCACAAATACATGATCTTATCGTTAGTTCTGTATTTATGAGCTCTATGATCGCGTGCTGGGAGAAGCTCGGTATGTTTAGAGAAGGAGTTTGCCATTTTACTCCATTCATTTTTCTCTTTATTTGTAGCCAAGGAAAAAATACGGAAAGTACGCAGAGTGGAAATACGATTTTGAAAGTAAAGTTGTTTTTGACTGCTATCATGTTTTAGCTCAAAAATTCATGTGAGAAACGATTGATCAGACTCTTGATAGCCAGCTTGTAGAGCTTGCTTTCCCCGTCGAATGATTGCTCAAGCCGTTATCAGTTGAAGGAAAGATACAAAAGACGACGGTTATAGTAGAAACGGTACAAAATTATGGGACACTAGGTTGCTTCGTAGTTTCTCCATCTTGAGTTCTACTCTTAGTCTTTACTTTGGGGCACAGAGCTTCTCGCTCGATGAATGCTTGTTTGTTTTCAATAACTATAACGTTTTCCAACTTCAAAGATTGGAATAAAGGTGATATCCGCTCTTGTTCTTAATTTCTGCCGCTCGGCACTCAAAGCTAAGCCTAGTTCTGCTTTTTCTTTTGCATACTTTTTTCTGCACAGAAAATGCAGCAAAATGCAACTCGGTTCTATATAAAGTTCACGTACTTGTAGTCCAGTGGACAAATAAATGAAGCTTTCTTCAGGCAAGAATGTGCTTGCGCTAGTCGACCCTTGGCAAGGAGACACACGCCAATGTTATTCCATAGACAACCATTATAGTCACACGCGTCTGCTGCTACCCTGAACGGAATTTGCGAGTATTTTTTTGTGTTTACGAAAAATTTCTTACCGAACAAAGCTTACCTATACTTGTTCAGAGCCACGTCATGGTCTCCATGCACCTGCATTATGGAACCAGCTGCGAGTATGCTCTGGAAATGCGAATTGTAAATCATTCGCAAAAAATAAAGATCTCACTAAAATCAATGAAAAGCACAATTATTAGGTTGGCACATAAGTAATGCAACTTTTTATAAATCTTTTGTATATTTGAACGTAGCGCATTCATTTTTTGGCAATATAAGGAATATGTTGTAAGCTTCTAATGCACACATTTTTGCCGAATTTTACCATCTTATGTGAGGATTACGGTAGGTTTACGTTACTATGGGAAAAATTTTAGAATGCATCAGATTTTGCTGAAACTTGGCCTGTAGGGCTTATTTGAAATGCTGATCACAAAAATGAGATCCGTTTCGCATGAAAATTCCTCGTTCGTGAGATCAAAAAATGAATTTCATTTTAGCGACAAATGAATATGATATTCGTGTTTACCGTATAGGTTTACTCTATAGTGCAAAGTTATAGCAAATTCTGACTTTTCGCAGCTTAGTTATTGACAAATTGCCTTCAAAACTTGACGCATTTGACTTGTTCAAATTCTCAAAGGCGCCGCACCTTAATTTGTGTTTGAATTTCATTTCTTTTTCACTGATTCCAATGTGCCAACTTCCAGCTACATGCTGCCTATAATTGCTTTTTCATATGTTTGAATCGGGTTTCGTAGGGCTTCATGTTTGCCAAAAAATCGTGAAACCTCGATTTTCAGCAGTTTTCAAAAAATGCTTAGATTTTTTGTACTACGATATCAAAAATCAAACGGTTTGCGCAGACTTGTAGCTTACATCACGATCTACATGATGCCACAAAATGAGATTGCCACATAAAATAGGAAAAAAGTTACGGGAAAAGTTGCAAAACTTATGTGCCAACCTAATAGATAAACAGTAACAATGAAAAATTAAATCAAAAAAAAGCATATTGCTTTTCTTTAGAAATAATTGCTAATTTTTTTTTCTGTTCTTTCTCGGCCTATTCTAAAATATGTTTTCCTAAGCAGAGTAAAATAATTTGTAGGAAAAATGAAGAAGGATCTTCTCTTGGAGATTAAACTCAAGTAGACCTCTTGACCCCTTTTTGAGACGAGCTTTTCTACCCGAAGGTGAATACGCTGTGAGAAAAAACATATTTTTGTTGAGGATTAAAATCCAAATGGATGTAAACGACCTGTTGATGAGCAGTGTCATAACTAAGAGCTTTTCCAAACATGGCAAAAGCTGGATCTTCGTTGTTATTGCGCAAGTACAGCATACCCATTTTGAACATCACATCAAGATTCTCAGGTTCCAACTAAAATATTTCAAGGTCGATCTTCTCATTTTAGAATGAGTGCTCATACCTGTAGCGCTCTTTCATAGGCTTGGATAGCAGCTGTCGTATCATTCAGTTCAGACATCAATTTGGCAAGGAAGACGATGAGTTCGACGGAATTGTTGAGAGAAGGGGCCTGTAATGTATCTGCACGATGTTCGAATGAAGATGTTTGTTGAATACACTAGCAAATTTGAGATAAACATTCCAAGAAACTGCAAGTAATGTGATAGATATTTCAAAAAAAACTTGTACAATTTTGTATGATGTGGACCAGCTGAGTTCTAATAAAAAATGGTACCTGCATAAGAAGATCTCGAGCTTTTTCACATGGATTGAAGAGGTCCGTTTCCAGGTGATAAATGGAACGAGCTAGCCAGTAGTAAGCTTTCTAGAAAGTGTAAGTCATGTCTGCCCTTGAGGGTATATGTGAAGATTTGCTTACGGGATCATTTGGATTGGCTTTGATAGCTTTTTCTAGGTAGTCGACAGCTTGAGTGTGATTTCCAAGGAGGAAATAAACTCGTCCAATGTTGATTAAGTACCTAAATAGAAACAATTCTGCCATTTTAAAGTAGAACATACGAAATGACCTGTAAAGAAACGTACAAAATGTGTCAATTAAAGAAGATAATGAACAAGTATCAATAGATGAAAAAATGTACCAAAAATCAAACCTAGGAAGGTACCAAAAATAAAGTATACGAACGTGGTAGAGTTAGGAGACAAAGCCAGTGCTTTATTGAACCAATTTAAAGCGTCCTCCAGTTCGCCCTCAGATCGAGCAATCACTCCTCTCATGTAGAAAGCATACTCACTTTGGTTTGAGCTTTGCTCGAGCATTTCCTAGAGTAAAATAGCTCTCTCGAATTTTCTTAAAAGGATAAAGTAAAAGCTCACCCCAATGAGGGACTTACAGCCAACATAGTCCCCTTGTATGTACAGTCTATACAGCAAAGCATTGGAAGCTTCAAAATTGACGAGTTCAAAGTCGGGTTTCCATTTCGAAGCACGTGGCTCAGACGGTTCCGGTGCCTCAAATTCTGTTCTTCGAAAAGTTGTTGGCATCATTTTTTGTACCAAAAGAATCACGATCGCAATAATTTTTTGGTATCTAAAGGACTGGTGTCACCGCTATGGCGAAATTCATGGGAAAGTGGTACGTGGCAACCAATGCAACATTTTTTGAGTAAAAATTCTAGCCCCATATGAGGTGAGAAGGTTTGAAACTAGCTGGATCCATTAAAGCCTAGACCACATGTTGACTGATTGTGAGTTGAAAAGCGTTCAAGTAGGAAAATATCGGGAAAGTGCCTTTATTTGGAAGGTTAGTGATTTCTAAACATATTTTGATATTATCCGGAGTCGTGCAAACCATATGAGTTGATTGAAACAAAGACTTGTGACGATGTGAAAAAAATCACACTACTTTCGTCAACCTCTTTCGATTTGAGATTTGGAACAGGACATAGTAAAATCACCTCAGTGTTGTTCTCTTCTTCCTGCTCTCCATCGACTTCATCCAGCTCTGTATCCCTCTTCAAATCTTCCGCTTCATCCGAAACACTCATTTCGAGGCTTCAATCTGTATGTGCATAAATGATAACGGAATTATTGAAAAAATCTTCGAAAATGTTGTCTAAAAATCGCAGTCATGGAAGGAAACTATTGTAAGAAACAGGACTGGTTTGACTAACATAAAAAGTTTTGTTATGAGCTGCAGTGATTAGCTTTTGGGGCAATTGACATAAAAGAATAAAACAGAAAGTCTTGTATACAAAAATGAAAGCAGGTCGTTTTGATATAGGATAAAAGCGACAATTTGCATATTCGTAAAGGTCTGATGGAAGCATAAGTAAAGCATGCGTTTCTATGGCGACCACATCTGGAATGACCGCTTCGGGCATTCTACACTTTTTGAGGAAAAGCATTTGACTCGAAGTTGCCTTTTCTAACAAGCTTACATATATCATTTGAGGGCTCTTTGAAGAAAGCTGAAAAGAGACCTATTTGATGAAGGCATTTCTTTGTTAGCAGTCTACCATCTAATTCTCTCTGGATGGAGTGATAGCAAAGTAAATGTGGGATTTGTCCATAGTTAAATTCACAGCTGTCTGACACATGTCCTTGCCAAAATTGAAAAAAATCAGGCAAAGATTGGAAGCTCAGTCTCAGCAAGCTAGGTTTAGTGAACTTTGAAAGCATAATGTTTTTAACTTCGTTCAATGAACTTTAGCAGATAAGGAAGGCAAATTTGTAATCAGTGTTTGAGAATCTTCTACTTGATGTACATCCTGTTGGGAGAGGCCACTTCGTGTCAAATGCTTTCCCTTAGGAGCTGCACTTATTTAGACGTTGGCCCATGATATTGGGTTGGCGCAAAATAGTTCTGTAACATGAATGATCCATAACTTCCCTAGCAGAAAACCTAGATTCATCATAGGTTTTCTAAATATATTAGAAGGTCTGTGCTTCATGATGGGTGTCAAACTGTGGCTTTTTATATGCTAGCCACTTAGACAAAGTTTAATATGGGCATTTGGTTTTTGCGATTTTGAGTTTGTCGACAGAAAAAATGAATGCAAAAACGAAAATTTTAGTGTCATTGCAGAAAAAAACACCTTAAAACTGCTTCATAAAACACAGCTCGAAACCAGAAATATCACCTAGTGTTTACCTGAAACACTGTGACGTCTTTTAGGAAGTCAAACAATGTTTTTGCTGAAAAGTATAACAAAGAGACTTTTCCTGCAAGATGGAATTCATGAGTTTTTTGTTTCTGCATTTTTACGCAGGACTGAAGCCTGCCTTGTATGGACACTACTATATAAGAAATTTTACAATATGAGGCTAGCTAGCGACTTTTCTGCACCAAACTCAAAATTTTGAAATCCGAAACGCCATGTTTGGAAGCTTCGTTCTCGGTGGCTAGCTTATGAAAAGCTATTCAACTTGCATTAGGGTGAAAACATTCTATCATTTCTGGATTCAAAACCATGAATTTAGGTGCACTATTCAAAAAGTTATCGAGTTCCGTTCGTGTTGCACAAGAACTTTCTCATTTCAAAGTGCGTCAGTGATTGAGCATGAAATGAATATATTGTGTGCAGAAATGTATTTTCTTAATTATTTTGACCATAGACCAGCGTCGCAAGGATATCCCAAGCAGCTGACACTGATGTAAGAAATGGCAGGTTTATATGCTGGCAATAAATTTGAATTATGATTCCAGAAATTTTCAGAATTTCATCGAAATAAAAGTTGAAAATTGAAAAGATTTACTGAGATAGCCAACCAAACACTCTTTTCATATCTGACTCTCTGATGACAAAAAACGAAGATTAATTTTTTCTTCTGCAATTGGCTCCCACTCAAACTTGGTGAAAAACGAAAAAGTTCTGGAGTAACCGAATATGTAGGGAGCAAATTTGTTGGGAAAACAGGGTGGTCCATGCGAGCTGTAAGATTGTGAAAGTGATTTGTTTTTACTTTTGAATAATTCAAGTCGATTCAAAAAAACTTATAGGGCTTGATAGCTGTGAAAGAATTGTTTATGCGTGACGAAAGCCATGTCCCGCCCTCTGCTTCCGCTTTCTCAAAATTTCGGGTTTGCGATTCTTCGTGAAGCCCCCAAAAAGTTTGGCCTCCTCTCCCTCCTCGGAAGAAGCTCACGGACCACCACTGGTACTGATATCCACCTTCACTACACTATATATGTCATATTCTCGCTAAAAATACTATGGGTTTTCAGCTTTGAACTGTATGCGCTGCGCGGCGGTTTCAACATGTGAATTCGATTTAAAAGAAGCTGTATCTAGATAAATAATTGATAAAAGTCCTAAAAGTATTCCTCAGCTGTAAAGGACGATGAAGATCCACGCAACTTCATGACAAGATAGCTTTATTCTTAGAATAGGTGACTCAAAAAACTTAATTCTGAAACATAGAACAATTCCCTGTTGTAATACTGCCTAACAGTCCCAAACCATAAACCGAGTATTAGTTCATAATTCAAATAGAAATCAAAGAATCCCACGTAAGATTTCATTGAGTCTCACGCAGTACACGGATGATTCGAAGTCCCAGAAATAGCCACTTGAACCACACAAACACATCGTTCTGCCTGTTTGCAGAACTTCGAGGTGAATGGTCCCAATAAAAGATCACGTCGTTTATTGCTCAGTATATGGCTTTTTATAACCGGGCCTCGGTCACTGAAGCGTCTCGACCATCATGAGAGCCATCGTCATATTCCTAGCTCTGTGTCTTGTTGTTGGGTAGGATCTTTTTCGATTTTTGGTTAAGTTTTAGGACCTTTCAATTCAGTGCCAAACGCGATGGCAACCAGAAGTTCAAAGCATGCTGTGCCAGACAGAAAGCTGCTGACAAGGAATGCAAACGGAAATTCTGCGATTTCAACTCGATCAATCAAAACAATGTTGGTTTCGAGTATAACGTATCACATGCTTGAAGTTTCTACGCATGCAAATTCTCCTACTTTTATGCGCCTCCTTAACCTTCTACTAATTGAACGAATTCCACTTTGAGAAGTCATAATTAGTAATCCACAGGGTGCGCCAAAAATATTTGCGTCAACTTTGCATGAGTGCTGCAAAAAAACTACTCATAGTTTTGATTTCAAAATTTATGTGGTAGAATGCTGCAATCATCCTCTACAAAATAGCGTTTTATGAGCCCAAGGTGATTGTCATACCTTTGTGCAAATAATGAAATTGTCGTACTAATACTTTTCGAAGGCGCAAAAACCTAATTTTTCGGTAGTTATAATTCATTCCGTAACTGGAGTTCTTGAGACATTTTCAAGGGTTTTATGTCCACAGTGTAGAGGAGGCTTTGCGCTATTGAATCGTAGTACTTGCGTTCGCCAACAATTATTCTTCCAAAAATGGCAACAAAAAGTACGCAAATGCCACCCGCGTGTCAGTGGCCGTTTTGTTTTCAAATCACATTTGTAAGCTACAGAAACGCGCCTGTCACCGGATTCAATGCTATGGTGCCTTCACAAGGCTTCTAGATAAATACTCAGTTCTTTTCCACTGATGAAATTGAACTCCAACCTGATTTAGAGTCAATTTCTGCTTTTCTTTCGCTCATTCGCACACCTAAGTGCAGTTTTTGAGCATGTAGCAAACACATGACTTTGTTTAAACGTCGATAATTTTCTTGTCAGACCATCCTAGATTTTGTGCTTACAGTATGTTGCAGCCGAAAACTTGCTCTATCATGTGGTGTGTTCCTTGCATCAAAGAGCATTTTTCTATGAAGAAGCAGAAGATTTGGAAAAATACCTGCATGTTGCGCGCAACTTAATCAGTAATATATTTTGTGATTTTTCTCAAGCCACACTTAGAAATTCCAATTCATGCTACCTCAGGATAAAACGTTACTGAAACTAAATAGCTTTTTGCCTATCGCTGATCTCGTCTTGCACGAGTTTTGCGTTGCAGAATACACGCGCAAATATTTCTGACGCACCTTGTATATTCACCTCAATCTCTAATAGAGTGCACTACCAAATCGGAATACGGTAGCTCCACGATGGCTTGCTACCGTGTAACTACCGTACATAGATTGAACTAGCAGTCATCAAATCATTTTGAGCTGAGACAATTCTTTTCATAAATAAGAATTTGTCTGCTGTGAAAAAAGAGGGTGGAAGCAAACAGTGGGAATTCAGAATAAGAGCAGCATTTTTTGCAGTAGCTTTAGACGGTATTCATCAGTTCCCATTGGCCCACGATTATTGTTTACTTAGGATCATACTAGTAACCTGGACCTGTTTGTGGAAAAATTTCAGATGCTTCACTTCCTTAACATGTGCTCACCTCGACAAGATACGGTAAAATTGATGTGGGACTGTGCCTCGTCTCGGCATGATCACCTGGAATGTTGCAGAAAAAAGTAAGTTTTGTAGATTTTATTTTTTTGAAATATCTTTGCACAAACCTTTTTCAGAAATGTTCTGCCATTATGCATGCAATACTGTGAAAGCTCACATGCGGTACCAGCCGACTATCTCAACCATCTCGTCTGTCTACAGAATTTCGATGCTATCCGAGATTGCTTCCGCGATCATCTCGAGAAGAATCCCAACATTTTTGGTGATAACTGATTGATTTTGATTTTGTGCTACCTCATCATGTCCCTTTCCAAATTCGAGCGTACTTTGAGTATTTCGCACACATAACTTGTCGTTCTACTGCAGTGTTTTCGTTCCCATAAGAGTTCAATCCATGTCAACTATTGGTCGTTCAAACAGCTATGCCTGCTCAAAAACCTTTTGTCCAACCTCAGAATTGTGCGGTTCCACCAATGTTACATCCTCTAAAGCTACATGAAAGGAAGGAAGGGAAGAGGTAAAAGTTCAGGAGCAGCCTAGCGAGTCCAGTAGATTTCAACAAAGGGAGGAATAAATCCAGAAATTTTTGCTGAGGAATCACGAAGGAGCGAGAACACTTTTTCAGCGGGAATGTGGTTGGATGAAAAGGATATGTTTAAACATTTTGATAGTTGGGTAAGGAAATGTGAAGGGAGGACAATTGCTTTATGTGTATTGCAGGTAAGATGAAAAGCTATAGAAAACTTTGAGGCACTACAACGGGATTTCCAGAAAGATTTCGGAGACAGTCTAATAGGACTGAGCCATGCAAGTTCATACATTATTGTTGGAAAAAATGAGTAAAATTCACTGAGGCATTGGACAGTTCCAATTCGGGACATTTGGATGTAAGTAAAATTGATAGAAAATAACGAAGCGAGATGGATAAAATACGATCCAAAAGGAAAGTCTGCTAAACTTCTCGGAGTGAATGTTGAATATTGTTGAAGTGATTATAGATTTAATTGTTTAGAGACTGGAGGAAAGATCGAAGGGCTTCTTGAAGAAATGTGAGTGACAAAGCTCGTGGACACTTTGATATAAAGCAAAAAGGCACCGCTGTAGGCAGAAAAAAAATCAGGTATAGAGGCGGATCCGGATGCACATTTGTTGAATGACTAAGGTGGGAGAAAATCTGCGGCACTCTGGCTAAGGAGAGAAATAGTTCTGCGCACCTTTGGCTCAAATAAGAAAACAGGGGATGTTAGCGTGCTGGAACTTCAATTTGTTTGAATCGCTGAATCGCTCGAAACTTCGTCTAGAAATCTGCATAACACACACCTACATAGTTCCAATCAGCGTCTCATTTTGATTTGAAAACGTTTTGGAATAAAACTAACAAAGAATATCAAGTTTCCCCAAAAGACTCTTCCAAATAAATCTAGCTATTCTCGTTTTTCTTGCACACTTAGGAAACCAATTGAAAGAGCGAAGCAAGCTCTACAAAATAATCACCAAAAATTCGCCTAAGTCCTAATCTAGGTGAAGTTCGGACCCAACATTGCAAATGATTATCAACAGGAAACTTAAATTTGCGACGTACGGACTTCCATGTGCTCGTTGTGTAGAAAATATATTTTAGTAATCAAAAATGCTTTCAACGTATTTTTCATGTATAGAAAACGAGAAAAAAGATAGCCAAGAATGGCAAATTTCCCCCCAGCTACTATCGCATAAGCGATTGTATACACAAGCCTTAGTAAGCATAATCTTGAAGTTATACTTCTATATGTGCCTGGTAATCGAGAAATACCAAGCTTAACATTGAAAAAAAACCAAAAAAGTGACATTTTCGCATTTTCGGGCTACTTTTATTTCTTGATTTGAGACATGAAAAAAAACCGAACAAATGTATTTTTGGGCATTAGTATGTGTTACAATGACCAAGTTGAAGGTGCGTAGGAATTTACTGGAACGAGATGAGATTTCTGGGGAGTTCAAGTTAGAATTAAGCGAGCTTTGACGGTTATCTTGTAGAGCTTGCTTCGATGTATCGAAGACAACTCCATGTTTGCCGGGAGAACAAAAACAGCTTGGCTTATTCAAGTAAAAAAGGAGTTTATTTTGTGACAACCTAATATATGTTGGAAACACCATGAAGTTCCTCCACATTCCTGTTTCGTGCCCCCATTTAGCTTCTTTGTACCGTTGCTACTACAAGACCTCATATAAAGAATATGAAGAATTGGCAAAAAGGCTGCTTGCTAAAAGCGCTTGGAGCATGCCTGAGGGAAGTTGACGGTGCTTCAAGTCTCGGTCTTCGTATCCTTTAAATTTCTTTTCCAATGTCTGCGCTGTGGACAATCAAAAATGTTCTAACGATCCCTGAATTGCAACCCAATTAAACATTCTCTAGAATTCCAAAGTGGAGAGAGAAGCGGAGTGGGAAGAGGGGGAAATTACCAGTTATTCTTCATGTATTTGCATTTATGATGGAAAGGATAGGGGAGTAAACTCTGCCATTTGCTGTTGCATGTGTTTTGAGAACCAGTAGTCGGAGTCTGCCCCAAAATGGCGATTCGTTTCCCTTCCTTCTGCAAAAATGTTCTCGCGAGATCGCCATCGCCAATCGCCAATTCCGCGGAACTGAAAATGTTTAAGTTCAATTACGGTCATGACATGCAGCATGACGCGCACTTAACCCGCGACGCGCGACGTCGCCATCGGCTGCGATTGCCGCTGACGGCAGCGCGGCTGTTCTTGACGCCAATCGCGAACCAGAAAACATTGTCGATTGTTTGATTTTCTTAACGAAGCTCGTGATACTTAACTGTAATTTCCACTTGTTTAGAGAGTTTTGCATGCTTAATTAAGTTTCTATCGCAATCGCTTTTTTAAATGGACTGATTTCGAAATGTGCATAAGTCTACTTTAAGAATATTTCAGGTCAATTTATAGCAATACCACAGCATCTGAACATATTGTATCTTGTATATTGTGGATGTTATGCACAGTAAGAGGTAGCAAACAAACGGCTCCTCAAAACTATGGATCCCCATAATCCTCAAGTAGGTCACGTTTTTTTTCGAGTTTTTCATCTGGTTTTCTTTTTTCTCCCAGATTTTTTTTGTTATTTTCTTCATATTCTACTTGCATAAGCCTTGTATATCTTTCTGAAACTTCTAGGCTAATGGCAATTTGAACATGGGAATCCAAGGTCAGCAAATGGGAACACAAGGTTTGGGACAGAATCCATACAACCAGCAGGTGAGTCTTTTATTTCGACAGCTTGTCTGACCCAAAGCTTTTTTCTTCCAGATGTTGTTGGCGCAGCAGCAATACATGAACAGTTTCAACTCCTTCTATGGGAATAATCAGGTTCAGTTCTACTCAAATTCTCAGCTACTGACTGAATAAAATTTGTTGCAGATGTTATCCATGGACCCATTCCAACAACAGCAACAGCTTTTTATGATGCAGTCGCAGCAAATGCAGCCTGTTTTTCAACAACAACAACAACAACAGGTAAACTGTTCTTTCCCATACTGCGTTACCTTAACAATTTTTTCTACCAAATTATCTTGACAGTTGTTTCTGATGTTCATCTTTTGAGGTTCTTCAACAGCAATTGCTCCAACAGCAGCATACCCAACAACGATTTACGCAGCAGCAGCAAGTGCAGCAAGTTCAACAACAGCAAGCTCTGGTGCGCTTCATTAGCCTTATTCTTTACTTACTATGGCTAATAAATCTATCTCTCTACAGCATAACCATCAGCAGCGACTTTTGGAAGAACAACAGCGTCAGATTGAACTTGCTCGTCAACAGCAGCAGCGGCAGCAGCAGGAAGAATTACTGCGACAGCAGAGAATCAAGGTTTGTTTGTTTTCTCAAACTTACTTGGATTCATTTTTTCTTTTGTTTTTTTATCTGCTCTCCTATCAACAGATTTGTAGAACTGAGATTTGTTGGCTCGTACGTATTTGTTTCCGAATTGGGTATGTTATTTTTTAGGAAGCTGAGGAGCAGCAACGTCAACGTGAACTGCTAGCTCAACGCGAAAAAGAACAGCAAGAATTGCTAAAACAACAAGTAAGAAATTGCTATGAAATTTTTTATTATCATGATCACTTTTTTGTACAACATATCGTCATCATTGTTGCAATTTATGCACATTTGCATTTGTTAGGAGGAAGCTGCCAGGATAGCAGAGGAGAAGAGACGTCAGGAAGAAGCAGAAAGAAGAAAGCTTGAGGAGCTGAGAAAAATTCGAGAGGAGCAGTTGAGAAAGCAGCAAGAAGCAGAGCGGGTAAGCTTTTTGTATTGCTGGTAGTCGTTCATTGTTATCTTTTATTTCGATTTTTTCATAGGTTATCGAGAGTAATTTGATGTTTATAATCTCTATGTTTTTGTGCCTATCGCGTATTTTTTTGGATTTAGTCCTCCATTTTTAGGCGCAGCATGACATGAGAGACAGAGTTGCTCAAGTGCAAGCTGGCCAAGCACTGACTCTCGTTGCTACGCATTTCAATACCTCATGTGGGTTTTTGTCGATCAGAGTGGGTGAAAAAAATCTGATTCATTTTGCTACTTTAGATATAAAGCTCGTGCCATTCCCGAGTGAAAATATGATCAGCTCCAAGCTACCGTCTGTTTGTGATCCAGCCACGATGAAGTCATTATTGGACACGTCGGATCCTAACTTGGTGCAAATGATATCGCAGGCTCTGTCGAACATAGATGTCAGCGAAACGTAAGTTTTTCAAAGTTTTGTCGATTAGTTCCTTAGTCCTTTATTGTTTCCCTTCTCATATTTGTTTTCACGTTACTCACATTTTCTCCATATTTTTCAAGCGATGTTCCAATTTCTGCTAACTTCTTCTCTGTTTTCCTTTTTGTCATTGCAAATAGCCTTGCTATGATTGCGACGTCAACATGTGTCATTGCTTACTTTTCCATTGGTGACGAACTTAAGATTTTTCTTTTTCGTCTGCATGCTTCGGCTTCAAGATATTGTGTCGGTATAGGCCTTGTAGAACCTAGTTCCGAGTCGTGCCTTAAGCATCAGCGTGGCTTGATAGGAGTAGATAAAAAATAGAGGAAAAATGAATCCAAGTAAATTTGAGAAAACAAACAGACCTTGATTCTCTGCTGTCGCAGTGATTCTTCCTGCTGGTGCCGCTGCTGCTGTTGACGAGCAAGCTCAATCTGACGCTGTTGTTCTTCCAAAAGTCGCTGCTGATGGTTATGCTGCAGAGAGATAGATTTATTGGCCATAGTAATTAAAGAATAAGGCTAATGAAGCGCACCAGATCTTGTTGTTGTTGAACTTGCTGCATTTGCCGCTGCTGCCTAAAATGTGGAAGGGACGATATGTCTCTTCAATTTTTCGTACGAGGAGAGATCAGAGAATTAGAGAAATTTGGGTGCTTTTGAGCGAAGTCTGGCCGGAGCCCAACGCGGGAGGGGGGGGGGGGGGGGGGAGGTGGCTGGGAACGTTGGGTGTCGTAGCCTACAGGCTTGATACAAGCGACGCGGGCATTGCTTTCACGCATATTTTTTGAGCTTCTGTAGGAAGTTTTCGCCGAGATATAATCTACATAGTTGAAAACGACATGGAAGTTAAAGGCAGTGTCTCACCAAAGTTGAGGTCGCGGGAATCTTTACATATTCTATTGTAGGGACTTCTAGATAGGCCATTGCAACAAGTGACGCTCAATTTGACCCCCTCTACGCTGAGAAAAATTCGCTCAAAGTGGTACGCGGAGAGCCAGTTGGTACGCGCGGACAACTCCTTTGGTCTCCCCCTTACGCGTTTGAACATGTCCCTCCACTTGGCATCCACCTCCCCTCTGTTGCTGCCACTGTGGCTGAGGCTGAAGTTGGAAGGTACAACTCGTCCACGTTGCTTCCGCAGGGCCTCCAGAAAACGGGGTTTTTGGGAACTTCGTGCGATTTTAAGCCCATACAGTGCTAGACAGGGTCCGACAGGCTTGCAAAATGCAAAAATTTCGGCAACTAAATTTTGGTGAGACACTGCCTTTAACGAGAAATTATTTAAAAAACAGTGAACGCCTATAGGCATCGTGGCGACCGCTGCTAACAACGTTGGCAGCAACACGTTGGCAACATGCAGCAACATGTTGACGTGACAGAATGTTCTGCCAACATGTTGTGGCATGTTGCAAACATGTTTTGCCACGTTGCAAACATGTTAGCCACACGTGGCAGTGAGACCACTGTGGAGGGGACGCTATTTGAGCTTGGAGCCTTGGTGTTCAATGCGGCGCGTGGGCAACCGGATTTCAAAGCGCCTGTAAGTTCATATGCTGGAGTCCGTATTAGGTAATATGTTCGGTAAGGCAGGTGCCAGAGTAAGCGAATATTTTGTTCAGGCTGGGGTCCCGAGCAGAACTGACGTCTCTCACCATACTGGCATCAATCCAAGTGACGTCAATTCTGCGCAGGATCCCAACTTGAACAAAATATTCGCCTACTCTGGCACCTACCTAAGGCAGGCGCCATACTTGATCCGCTTGATCCACTTGATCCGCTTGAGCCGCATCACTATTGGTTAGTTCACTGCATTGACCAATGATGAAGCGGATCAAGCTGATCAAGTATGGCGCGTGCCTAAATGCGTTGGGTAGAGGTACGAAAGCCTCAATTAGGCGCCGCTTCTGCGGGCTGCTGGTCCTTTCGTCCTACTGTTGTACATCGTGTTGGGACCAGTAGTCCGCGGAGGCGGTGCCAAATTGAGACGTTCGTTCCGGGTAGGGGAACGAAAGCCGCCAGTTTGAGCCGCCTTTCGCGGCTAAATGGTCCTTTCGCAACGTTGTTGCATGTCGTCTCAGGACCAGCAGTCCGCGCAGGCGACCGAAGCTGGCGGCTTTCGTTCCCCTACGGGATCGGCCATACTATTCCTGCTATTCCTACGACTCCTGCGATTCCTGCGATTCCTGTGAGTCCCGCACAGTTTAGACGCCGCTTAAATGAGCGCGTGTTGCGTAAAACAACACGCAACACGCGCTCATTTAAGCGGCGTATAAACTGTGCGGGACTCACAGGAATCGCAGGAATCGCAGGAGTCGTAGGAATAGCAGGAATAGTATGGCCGATCCCTACCCGTTCGATCCTCCACCCAAATGCGTTTGCTAGGCGGCGGTCCCGGCACGAAATTCTGCACCGTAAGTTTTCTTAGGGTGTTGGGAAACAAGTTGTGAAATGTGTCGGCCACATTTCCCTCGCCTTTCTTTTACGGATATTAACATGGACTGTTTTTGACTGTTGTACTATAGGATATGAGGCTCCACACCCTTCAAATATATTGTCGTGCCCATCTGTGAAAATCTTGATTGACACATAGTTACCTTTTTTTAGTCGTACGCGGATGGATATTCATGATGGAATCCCGGAATCTAATGATCTCCCTCTCGACCTCATGCCTCCTCTCATTAATGCTGTAATGGGTGTCAATTGTAACGTGAGTATCTCATAAAACCTACATCAATCGAAGCCATGTGCTCACTAGTGCGCAATATGTTGATCTAGGCTCTCGACGTAGAACCCGAACACAACATGGAAGCTCCAGAACATCTTCTGAGCGACATGGAGCTCGATCCAGCTGTCAGTCGCATGTCATATCTCACGAGTATCATGCGTTTCATAGTATCTCCCTTTTAGCGAACGTTGAATGATGCTCCGGCAGTTACTTCTCCCTCAACAGTAGCTGCCCCTCAAACAACCGTTACACCCGACCAGCCTTCAACATCCACCGCCAACGATGATTCGGCTTTTGCAGCTCCAGTGCTTGAAGGTCGCGATAATATACAGTTGCGTCGCCAAATGGCTAGCGTTGGCAAACAGCCGAAAGCAAGTCAGCAGCGAAAGAAAAGGGATCAGGTACGTTTTGATCTTAGTGAAGAGCTAACTTTGTTATTGGTTTGATTACGCACGTTCTTAGGTCGAAAGCTTGTACGACTCCTTGACCGACTATTTCGACCCATCCGATGGGCGACGGCAAAGGAAGCGGACGAAGACGTTGGAGGAGGAGCAAGCAGATCAGGTAAGATTGCTAAAGTCATCTCTTACTTTCCCTTTTTGTTTGTTTGAACTTCTTTCGCTGCTGCATCATCAGTTTACTGAGTCTGTGTCATGATTAAGCGCTGGGAGGAAAGATTTTTATGAGTGTGTGTTCTTTAGCGCGATTTGGAGTTGATTGCACAAATGGAAGCGCAAGCGGCTGCCGCTGCTGCAGCTGGCAACGGAATAGCTGACGAAGAAATGAAAGCGGGCAGTGCGAGCGATGATGACCATAAGTTTTATGAGAAGAAAGATAGGAGGCGGAAGAAGAAAGAGGATGTTCCGGAAAGACCACCGACACCAACCGATGGTATCTTCTTTCATAGTCGTTATATATGTAGTATGCCATACATGAGAGTTTCCAGTCATTCACAAACGTGATCAAGAATGGTCTGAACGACAGCGTAAGAGACAGGAGAAATTCCGAAGGCGAAAAGGCACGGAAAGTGATCAGTGCTGGAACAACGACGTATGTCTCTTTCATATTAGTGCCTTTTATTGATTTCTGTGACATGATTCTCCTCTTATTGTCTTCTGCCAGTTTCTACATAGAATCTTGAAGAGTTCCCATTTTTCCCTTATAAAAAATTCATTGCTGTCAGGTCATGGCAGAACACGACTCACGGGCTCGCATGAACGTCATTCTTGATCAAATTTTCGATCAAGTTGAAGATGTTGATATGTTGAACATAGCAAGAAACAGCAAAGGTATTGTCTCTCAAGACTTTTTACTGGCACACCACCTGTCCCTATTGTTCAGATGAAGATTTGGATGAAGAGGAGGAGGGCGTTAGCCAGGAACTCCTGATTGACAGATCAGTGTTGGATGATTTGCGTAACGAAGTGCAGAAGTTGCTTACTTGGAAGAAACTAACTAGCGTGAGTGCATAGTTTATCTTTGCTGAGTAGCAAGCCCTTTTGGTGCCTTTAGTCGCTTGTGGTGCGGTAGATTTATCTGTCTCGTCTCTTTTGTGACACTTTGCTTGAGTCCTCTAAGACGCTGTTCTGTTGAGGGGTTCCTACTTCACTCATTTCAGATTGCTTCCGAACGCCTCATCAAACTGATAACAATCCTCGAACGAAATATGCGCGATGTTGTCAGCTCGGATGGAACCCGTTTGCTTGTCCCCATCATCACAGAAGAGGTATATCATGGTAGCACTAGTTCACTCTAGTACGCTAGTAGTCTTGCGCGCATTGTAGGAAGGCGAGGAGGATGACCAAGCTCTCAAGGAACTCATTGACGAACGGCTGATACGTGGGGCAGACGCTGCATGTACCATAATGATGATCATGACATGTCATAAGATGCCAAAGCAGGTAATGTTTATGCGAGTCATTCGTATAGTATAACGTCTCATGAAGTAGTTTAGGTTTACATAGAGGATGCTATCGAGCGATCTATCAATCTTTGTCGGCACTACCTAAGGAGTATTGTCTTTCCCGCTTCGGATCCGATGTATGGGCCCGGTAAAAGACTCAAAGGTACGTAAGTCTTTTGATGCAAGCATTTTTGAATGAGCGACTATTGCTTCATCCATTAATATTTCTTCAATAGATGGAATTGTTTTTGATCTTTGTTGCGCGTTTTTCACTTTGAACTTATAGGCGTTACGACGTTTGCGCATTAGTCATATGTTTCTCTCCCCTTTTTATCGTTAGTGCAGGGTATCTTGAAACCATCTGCTTGAGTTCCTTGGCTTGGTTGGTCGAAGTAAAAGTTGAACTGAAACTATAGGTAACTGCGCACCTATAGTACCCCATAGTCATACTAAACCCCTATTTTATGGGAAAAAACCCTTTATTCAGGGAACAGCTTTCTATCTGGATTATTAGATCAAACCAACTTAGATGTTTCAATTTCAGCTGATGAGAAACGACGGAAAAAGGTGGAGCAAGTGCAAAGATCACCCACGGTGCAGCTTTTATACTCTCGAATGAGCGATCTCGTCCATAGTTTCTCGAATCTGGTATGTTCATGTTTAATCGTAAATCTCAACGGTGCCTTTCGCAGTTTTCTTTTTTCTGTAGAATACGGAAAATGAATTTTTTATTCTCAACTAGTTGGCAAACCCGGCACCGCCCGGCCCTGTCAGTAGCCCCGTAGCTCAAATTTTGCGCAAGATTGATAAAATCGATATCGATCGATAACGAAAAGAAGCCTATGACGCCCCTTCCCGAAGCATCTGTGTGCTAAGTTTGGTCCAAATCGGTTCAGAAATAAAAATTTCTATTCTGCACATACGTACTGACATACATACACACATTCAGCTCTATATATAAGATATATAAACAGTCAAAGAGATTCGAGGAAGCGAATTTTGGGCGAAGTCATTTTTTTCTAAATTCGTTTCTGGTAATCCAAGAGCGAGAGCATTCGCCCAACTTCATAACTGCGGAGCTACTTCTCGAGCATCCAGCTGCTGTCTGAAGATACCTGCTGCTACTTTCCCCTCATTTCTTTTTTATTTCAAGGTGCGACAGACAGATGTGGCTGAAATTTGCATACATCATCTAACCACGATCGCCATTCAGTCATTCTTTGTTAGCAATGTTGGTGAATTGCAACTATATGTGAGTTTCTGTATCTGCTAGTTGCTTAATCATAATGTGATATTGTAGAATTTTCACATCGTGTAATAATGTCTTAGGCTTGTAATTTGGCTGCAAACATTTTCACGAATGCCAAAGAACATGTCCGAATGGGGATGCTGAATGACATACTAAATTCTCTTCATCGTCTACCAGCAGGTCGCAACGCCAACAACAGTTATAGATTCGGACCCGACCAGTGGATCAGCAACACTACAGTACTAGTTCTGCAACTACTGCAAAGCGTTGTAAGAGTGAGTTCTACTAGTCATCGTTATTTTCCTTAAGGAGACTGTCAGGAGACGCGCTTTCAAGGTCGCTAATTCAACAGCTCAAGTTAAAGTTACGCAACCACTTTAGAAGCACCAGACCAATTTTTCTAGGTTATCAAATATCTGAAGTCATCGCTTGCTAAGTATGACGGCTTTTGGTGGAAAGTTGATTGAAGTAATCACGAAATTGCTACTAGTAGCATTTTCACGAGTTTTTGTCATTCAACATTCATTTGAACAGCCAACGAACGATCGTCTACATTTCCTCCCAGATTCAAGAGGCTTTCAGAACCTTGTCAAGCACTAAAAGTGCGCCAATTGGTGTTCATTTGGCAATAAAAATCGCGCTTCTTGACATACACCCTCCTCTTATCTGCACTCCAGTGAGGAAGAGTCAGTTTTGTAGGTTCCGGAGAGGATACATCATAGAGGAGAGCATCACGACGAGGACGGAGAACCTGATATACAGCCAGATTCAATCGTTCCCAGCTCGTACAAGGAAGTACAAGCGCTCGCACAAGCTTTCGCTTCTGGTTTCTTGGCAAGGTAAGACACTCTACAATTCTAAAACAGAAACTGTAGTTTGCTATCATTCTTGAAATATTCATTGTTTTGATTTGTTGTTGTGTATTTTGACTAGCTTATGTTTTCTGTACTCGAACTTTCCTCTACCGCATGTCATTTACCGTATTATATATTCAGATGTTCATCTAAAGGGAACAAGAGCGAAGGTGAAGAAGACTATCGAGCATTGTTCGATAGTTTTCTGCAGGATATGTTGACTGCATTTAATAAACCTGAATTTCCTGCTGCTGAAATGTTTCTGCAGGTCGTGGGCAATTTGCTGGTCAAGAATTGCAGGTAGGTGCTTTAACATCTCTGCTTCTTCTTTCCCTCAATGCGTTTTCCAGAAACAAAAGCGCAGACATAAATATCCGGACTGTGAGCCTGGAATATCTTGGTCTGATCACATCACGGCTGCGAAGTAGTATGATCTGGTCTGTTGAAGATTCAAGGGAGCGAATGGACGTGAGCTTGTTTTTTTTCTACATTTTTTAATCAGCATTTCGAAGTGGTTTACATGACTGTACTTTCTTAGTCAATCTTTTTGTAAACTTATTTGTCCATGTTGCATATCGGTGAGGAAATCTATTATAGCTGGTAGTAAGAACGATAAAGTTCGAGGAAAATCTGCAAGAAGATGGCACTTCGCTGTGGCCTAGCGTAGCAGACGTCGATATCTCAGACGTAAGTTGTTCACAAAGACGCGATTGATGATTTGCTTTTGCTCCTACCAAAGTTCTCGATTGTAGATGACATTCAGCGAGAAGCAAATGGAGTTAGAGCGTGCTTTGCTTGACTATATCGTTGTGAATAAGGATATCACCGTAGAGGTAAATTCACTGAAACTGATAGTTGTTAAGATGCTGCATATTGTTGTTCAGTATGCTGTCCGCTTCTACTGCTGCGTTTGGTACAAAGAGATATTGGAGGATCTGCAAGAGCTGGAAGCACGCTATGCTGAGAGCAAGCGGGAAAATCTGTCGGAAAAGGTGAGGCTAATCTATTGCTAGCAGCTGTTTGAATTTACATGTCTATTTCTTCTAGGAACATCGCAAGAACGAGTCTCGTCACATGAAGAAGGTGAAGCGTGCGCAAGCACAAAAGATATTTTTGGTCGATCTGCTCAGCAAGAAAAAGGATAGACAGAGGCGCTACGAAAATGCGAAGTATGTTTTGAATGAAAGTTGTTTTTGGATTGTCCTTCCCCCCCCCCCCCCTCCCCACCCCCACTGAGTTTCTTTTTTCAGGCGTTTCGGTAGCTCAATGCTAGAGTCTGATGTAGCATGGTGCATCAAGTACTTGGCGGCGAAGAGAGAGTTCACGCACTCGTTTGATACGTTCCTGAAGCAGGTATTGTCTTGAAGTTTTTTTGTCTATGCATGCCATTTTTTTTCGGCGTTTTATCTGCATACAAGCGAACTTTGCAGATCATCGCTGGTATCACGACGGAAACTACAGTAAGTTTGCGAACAAAAGCAATGCGATGTTTGACGCAGATCATTGAGAGCGATCAGTCGGTTCTGTTGATGGTAGGTCTTTTGCATCTTGATTATTTTAACGATGTTTTTTCGCTCCTTTTGGTCCGCTTATTCAATGGTTTATGGTCTTCCTGTTAGCATAAAGCTGTTCAGTGATTCCCTGTAACCTTTATTTTACAGCCAGAAGTTTCATCTGCTGCTCATAATCGTATGACCGACTCTAACGCAGCAGTTCGTGAAGCTACTGTGGAAATGATTGGTAAATTCGTTGTTGCCAACTATGATGCTATTCCGACATACTATCCACTCCTTGCTGAACGGCTAATGGTTTGTGCGCTTATAAATAATCGTTGGTATAGGGTGATAGCGAGTCGTTCAGGACACTGGGCTTGCTGTTCGTAAGCGTGTCATCCGCATAATGAGGGAAATTTGCGAGAAATTTCCTAATTTCGAGCAGGTATGCTTTTATCGCATTTGGTACAAAGTCAGTACCTCAAAATGTATTTTTATAGATACCCACCATGCTTGCTCAAATTGTGCGGCGAGTGCAGGATGAAGAAGGTGTCAAGAAGCTTGTGCTTGAGACTTTCCAAAACTTGTGGTTTCAACCTGTTTCTGAGAGAAACACTCCCGCGCTTCTGAAGAAAGTTAGACTTTTTGTTTTGTTACTCAAAACTTCATTAGTTCCGATCCTAAATCGACATGCGCTTCCAGGTGGTTGTAATGACAAAAGTTGTCCAGACATGTGCGGAAGAGTCGAAACTTGAGGCGTTAGAAATGCTGTTTCAGGCTTTGCTCAAGCAAGGCGACAAGGTTTGTTATTCAAAGTTTACAAGTCAGTAACAAAGCAAACTTATTTCCAGAGCACTTTGGCCGCCAGCCGACAAATTGTTGACATGTTTATGGATAACGTCCTCACACTTGAAAACAAGATGGCAACCGGTGAGTTGTTTTGCATCTCTTTTATCGCCTTTTAATTATTTTGCTGTTTAGAACACGCTTTGTTTCAGAAAATGGAGTATCCACGAACAACACCTCCAACAATGAGGACTTGGCCGGTGCTGAGGTGCACAAAGCAAACCAGGAACGACTTCTCGCTTGTCTCAATACTCTGACACTATTTAGCAAGGTTTGCCATCATTTAATTTTTTTTCCATTTGTCGTATTATGGCTACTTTGATATAAAAGTAACCTTAGGTGCGCCCAGAATTGCTGGTTAGGCATGCGGAAACTTTGCAGCCATATCTTTCCATGAATGCGACGCAAAAATCGGAAGTCATGGTAAGCATTTTATGTTAATTCTCTTGTGGGTGTAGTAAGTCTGTTCACTCAGGTTCTGAATGAAGTTATCGGAATGCTTGAGAGAGTTGTCCCGCTTATGAGCCATCCAAGCGACGCCTTCTTGACTGCGTAAGTACTTTGATTCCTCAACGATCGTCGATTTTTTTAGCTAGAACAAGGTTTACATATTTTTTGAAAATTCTGATAATTTTTAGCCAAGATCAGACACTTGCCAACCTGACAGCTACTGCCAGCGGCGTAGCGACAACAACTGTGACGATCAGTTGTATGTCAGCTATTTGGCACCGGTTCGGTCGACCACCCATTCCAGCAATTGTGCCGCTGTTCAAAACATATCTGGGTAATTGATAGGCTTACTCTTTCAAGCGGAATTATCAATTTCGACTTTTCATTACATTTTCTTTCCAGAATTTCTTGTGCGAGTCAAGAATGCACTGAAGACGAAGCCCAATTGCACTTTAGATGGACCAAAGGTTTCGCGCATTCAAAGGTAATCATTTGCAGTTATAACATAGTTTTGTAGTTGATTTATTGTTGTCTTCGGATTTTCTTATCTTTTCATTCCCTAATCAATTCGTTATCGGAAGCATATTTTGTCCTTATAGGTTCCTTTGTGGTGTAGGAGTCATGGCACGGCATTTTGATTTTGATTCCATCATCAAAGATCCGGAGTTCGAAACAAAAATATTTCCTGCACATCTTGTACGACCTGATCTCTCATTAGGAACCGACGATATCGACTTACATGATTCCGAGAAACCACGGTTGGTGTACTAACTGATATTGTGAATTGTTTTCTCGATTTATACTTAATTTTAATGCTCAGACGGATACGCGATAACGTTTTCGATGTGCTTTTCTTTTTCTCCAGCAGTAATGTGCCCAGTATGCGGTTCAAAGCATTTGTAGCCCTCGGTTAGTTCTTTTGTTGTTGAGTAAACCAACTTTTTCCTGTAAACCGATTAAAAACATCTAAGCTGTTCAGGTCATCTCTGTGCTCGATATCCTGAGTATTTGATGTGTCGAGGTGTAAAGAATATGTACCATGTACTGCTGAGTTCCGATGACCCCAACTTCACCGAAATGCGACTGCAGGCCCTCCAAAATTTGGAGGAGTTTCTCAGATCGGAAGAGCTGAAGTTGATCAAAGGGGATCAGATGTGTTAGTTGTTTTTAAGCCCTATAACATTTGCTTCAAGTAAAAACAACATTCCAGTCGGAAAAGGAAAAGAGCAAGAGAATCTTAAAGAAATGGACCAAGCTGGGTCGGGTTTGGGATCGACAGTGATTCAGATTTATTGGCAGGCTGTTCTGCAGGGATACTTCTCGAGTAACAACGCTATTCGGTGCCATTCAGCTCAGGTTTGTAGTTTGATATTGTTATACTTCTCCGATATTGTTATGTGTATGGATGACCCAGTGTTAATTGTTGAGCCTAGCAACCGATAGTATTTTGATTCAGGTTGCAAACCTCACATATACACAAGGGTTGGTTACTCCGGGTACATCGATTGCCACGCTCATTGCGATGACCACGGATCCGCTACCTATAGTCAGAAATCGAGTAGAAGCAATGTTGAAGGATATTGACGCCAAATATGCTGGAATGATACAGGTTGGTTTGAATCACAAAAGGAACACCTGCTGATCTCACTAACTTTGAATTTTAGAGCACCGCCACCCAAGGGGTACGCAAGGCTTATCAGTTGCAGCTGCAAATACGGATGAATAATACAGACCCAAATGAGCGGGTTATTCGTGGTATAAGAGCTTGTGATGTGTCACCTTACGGCTCTACTAGCGGTTTGTTCCAACGGTATTAACTACTTCAAACGGTAATCGCACATCTTTCCAGCTCGACTAGATCCAACCACTGGTCTACCTCGACATTCTAACGACGGTCAAGCTGTGCTCAGTGGTCTGTATCAACGGTTGCGAACGAATAGGCAGCAGCGGAGATCATTCCTTACTAGTGTTCTAAGGTACTAATGCACTTCATTGCGATCTTTTTTTTTCTTCTTTGAAGTCGAGAATTTCTGTTCCAGACTGTTCAGCGAAGATTCTCGAGAAAAGCTCAGGCTGGAAGAGTGGATTTTTGTAGCGGATAACATTGCGATGTTTCCTTACCAGGTAAAGAAGTTTCAGTGTAGGGTGTTGTTGGAATATTTTTTGATAATTTGTTATTCATTATCATTTCTTGAATATCTCTTTTTACCATCTCTTCTTGGTTGCCTCTGAACATGGATAAACGAAACTAGTGTTGATTAAAAATTGTTCCGTTTGCGAATAAGGTCAACAATGCCTTTAGGTGATGGATGAACCGTTGTACGTGATTCATACCATCGACGCAATTGTCGCTTTATCTGGTCAATCGCTCCTTGTCCAATGTAAAGCGCATCTCCGAGCTCGTCAGCAGTTTTACTCTCCACAACAGCAGCAGAAGAACTTATCGGCTGCTGAAGATGATGATCTCCTTTTTGAGCCTGAAACTTTATACAGTAAGTTTATTTGGGTCAATACTGGACTCTAAGTACTATTTTTTAGATCGTTTCCCCGAAGAAAAAGGTCCTTTATACGATCTGATGGACAACAGTCAAGCGTGCTTTATTTTGCTCTACCTCAAAAACTTCCTCATGAAGCTCTACGGATTCACTGAAGCGTACGTCACACCGTAAATCAATGCTTTTACATATAAGAAAATTTATTTTCAGCAAAGTGCAAGAATATTCTCCTTCGGAAGCAGCCAAAGTTTATGAGAAAACGCTGTCATCTCGGAAAAATGTACCAATGTTCAATCCTTTGGCTGCATTAGATGGAGGACGTCGACGTGATGGAAGCGCTAACGATCCACTGGCTAACGATCGCCAAAGCATACAAAGTCACTTCAATCTCGCCACCAAAATCTGCAACGTAAGTTTTTCCGCAATAATTGTGAAGCTGTTCTAGGTTTGATTTCTTATTTTTTCCCATTATTGAAAGTTAGTCCAGCGGCTTTGTCGTTGAAATTTGTGTCTCGACAACGCTTGAGTGTAAATAGTGAACAGGGAGCGCTTTGATATTTTTGAGCACCATGGCACCATTTTTACGCGCAGGTGTTGTTCGGCACCTCAACAACTATGTATTAACCTTCATACTACCAGGAAGGGTGTTAGGTTATGCTAATATCATCACATTTTGAGCATATCATCACATCTTGAATATCCTGGACATATGTTTTGTAACCGCGACCTGTAGTCCACGTAGTGATGGGCCGGCAAGCACAGTCGAGTATCGCTTAATATAGTGTGCTTGCGGTGCAGAAATTCTATAGCAAAGCTTGAGCTACGCTTGTAATGATGCCGGCCACTCGCTCGCGCAAGATGCCGGCATCACATGGGTATTTGTTGTTATGTCATTGTTGTTCATGCGCAAATTTTATCGCAGAATCGGCATCGCAAGCGCACTACACCATGCAAAAAGTTCCACTTGCTGTGTGTGAGAGCGGTTTCAAAAAAAAAATGCAACGGAACCTCAGAACTGCAGCACACGGTATGCATACTTGTGCGTTCTTTACGACGGATGCGGTGCAGGAGGAACCAAAGGCCTGCCGCCTGTAGCCGTAGGAGATAATTAGGAGGGCGAGCGCTGTGGAGAAGATTTTGGCAAGGATCCAGGAAAACTTGGCTAGGACATCCATTAAAAACAAACCCTTATAACTCTCCTTGGAATAGTTTCAAGGATATGAAGGACAGATTTGGAATCAGTGATGAAATGCGCATTTTTCAATAATACGCTTACCGCATAGTTGAACAACTCTGTCTCGCAACTATTTTTGGCAAAAACTGTGCCTTCAAAATTCACCATTCTAAACTGAAATTTCAAGCTAAACGTTGGGTGAAAATTCCAACAATTTCAGTGAAATTTCTGGATACGAAGTTGAAAGCATGAAATGGTAATAAGGAAATAATGTTAACTAAGTTGCATGTGATGAACTTTTGCTACTGTGTACGACCTAAAGGATTACCGACATAGTTTCAATGGCAAATCTTATGAAGTCTCTAATGTCAATAAAATAAGAATGGGTTTGAAGCTATGAGACAAACTGCATATTGCATTTTGACACAAACCTCCAGATGTGTTCTTATGACCATTTAATTGCTTTTCACTGAATCAAAAGGTAAAATAATTCTTTATCTCGAAGAAGAATTTTGAATGAAAACCCCGGGCTTCAACAACTTGAAACTTCAAAATTCAAAACAAAAAGTTCCTATAAGGTAGTTGACTTATGTTACCAATTACTACAATTCCAAATTTTCATTTACTTTTAGGCCCAGTGAATGCGTCTTCCAATTTGCATTACAAATATGTTCTTTAAAATTTTCAAAGTCATCTCCAGGCGAAGTTATGAAGATTTCTTCCTAAAGGATGTCCTTGTCGAGTTTTCTTGGATCCCTGCCAAAATATTCTCCACAACGCTCGCGCTCTTAATTATCTCCTGCGGATATAGGCGGCAGCCCTTTGGTTCCTCCTGCACCACCCCCCCCCCTTTACGACGCCAAGACCCGAAACACAGACAGTTCTGGAAGACGGCTATTTGGATTCCTATATTTTGATTTAGTTCCGCAAGTTGCTGCTGTCACTGGATCGAATGGAAAACGACGAAGATAGCGATCCCGATGGTGATATGACCATTGCTGCGAAAGAACATGATGACGATGATGCTGATGGCTGCGTTGAACCTAGCGCTGATTCTGCAGAAGTTGATTCCTAGACCTCATTACTTATCCATAATCCCTCGACTATTTCCTCCTCCTTTTTCCCCGTTTCTGCCTCAATGTGATATACTATTTTTGACTAGTTTGCGCCATTATGCCATAGTGTCAAATTTTTCCTGCTAATGTGATCCAGTTCGCATTCAGGATAACATTGGCCATTAGAGCATTGTATATGAGCGCGTTTTTTCTGCGTTTAGTCATTTTTTCTCACTGATGCTGGTGCGTATGCTCTTCCTAACATACCATGAACTTACCTCAGCTTAGTGTTTCCCATATTTAGTCTCTTTATCGCAATGGCCCGTATAGGCACAGATATCATCTATACAACTTATATTCTCTTATATTGTAATTGAGCGTCAGGTAGCTCTTAAACTCAGTGCTTCCTGTCGTTAAATACCATAATAATCCTAGAAGGATCCCCCTTCCCCTGTAAATAAGCTCTGTACGATTCTCTTGTGCTCTCCCATTCTCTGTGAATTTTTTTAAGTGCTGTTTTTGGTTATGTTGATCTCTTAGCACTGCGTTGTTCTTTTTCTGCATCTCGTTACAACTACCACACCCGCTGTTGCGCAGTCAATCACAAGCCAAATTCTGAGAAATTTACAGTGAATATGGCTAATATACAAAAAAATCGCATGTTGCATATATCTTTCGAACAAAATCGAACTTCTGTTGAAACAGATGTAGAGATGATGAAAATAAATAATTACTATATTTTTTTGCAAATTTATTGAGAAAAAACTTGAACGAAACCTGGACTCAACATTAACACAAATTAAATCATTCACTGTTCATTTCTACTTCCACTTCTTTCTCCTTTACTCTGCGTGAAATCCTACTTGCAAGTTCATCGCGCAGCACATGCCCATAGGGTGAACGAGGAATCTTCTCGATAAATTCAATCCCGCCATTTAGTTGCTTATAGCTTTCCTTTACACGATCTGAAGTCATCTTTTTGAAACGTGTTCTATTAGACGAGATGAAAAGAAAATTTACCTTTTATGTACAATTTAACATCGTCAGTGGTGAGTGCATCATCGAATGGTACAACGAAAGCGCTCACAGTCTCCTGATCTTCAGTTCCTACTACCGCTGCGTCTAGAATAGCGGGATGACAGAGAAGCGCGTCTTCAATCTCGTTCAGGCACACCTAAAACCATCGTTCTAATGACAGTGTCACAACTCCAAGTTCGGACCCCTCGCGATCGCTTGCTGAGGTCTTACGCCAAATATGCCGTATTTCCTGGGGATTTCTTCAAGTCTAAACGCAATCGAAGCTTGAGAAAATGCCTATAGGTCGCAAAGCGGCGCAAGGCCGTGTGGGCGAGACGCTACAGTCTGTTTCACCCCGGATTACGCGAAACATTTTGCGTGGAGCAGCGCGCCTGCATCGCTGGACGATACTGTAGCTGCGAAATGGTGCAGACCAGGGCCCGGCACCGATGGTTTGGGATCAAACTGGACTTCGTTTTTGGAGTTAGAGCAACGGGAACATCGTTTTTATGAGGTCCTGGAGGAAGCGCCCAAAAAACACGACGAACATGTCAGGTTTCACGAGTTGAACGTGTTCTTTCGCAAGCGCGCGAATTTAAAAAGGAAGACTCAAACAAACATATGGCTTGTTCACAGCGCACAAACAATCACATGGCTCCAAATTTGGGCTATGAGTATACAATATTACTCCAAACTATGTTATGTAAAAAGTTCCCATAACTTATGTGTCCTAATATCCGTTCTCGAATTTGTTGGTTTCTAGACCAACTACCAAACCAACTGGGTTGGTTTGGAGCATAAATATCGGAGAGTTCACATAAGTTTTGGACCTTTTTGATTTGGACGATTAGAACGGTCAAAAATCTATCATATAGTGAAGAGAGCGGATCAAACCGTTGCCTTTCCCCTTTTTTTTGAGTCAAAAGTAGTATGATTCAACGCGTTGATAGATATCGCGCTCCATTCACTTGCGGTGTCCTTTAAATTATGTGGCGAAAAATGCATCGCACGATTGTTGAGGCTACAGATTTGGCTGGCCTAGGAGATTCTCGACATTCCCAGCATCAAAATGGTACTATACCCAATGGCAGAGCCTTTAATCGACTCGAAATGTTTTCTTTTTGCTTTTTTGTTATATTACATACCTCAAAATGCGCTTTTTTCGCTTTTTTGTTGCTATTTTGTTTGAATAAGGGTTTCCCTACTGATTTTCATGTCGAAAGGGACTTCGTAAATTTTCGCGAAGACATGGGGGATTTCGTTTTCTAAAAACCTCCAAACCAACGCGTGCCGGGCCCTGGTGCAAACCGTTGCGATGCGGAAGCCCGCCAAACCAATCCCCACCTAAAGTGCGTTGCAACTTGATGTAGTTAAAATGTTACCTGATTTCCGCACACATTGATAAAATCGTCCAAACGACCATCCACAAATATGTTGTCATGCTGGTCAAAATGACCAACTTCGCCTAAAACTAATATTTTACCACCCCGGAGATGAGAAGTTGTGTAACCTTTGATTCAACTGGCTTGGCTTCAAGAAGGCGGGGCTTTTTGACCTAAGGCCGCTCGCACCCGCAATGCACCTGCGTCTCTCTCGCGCGAGGGCTTTCTGATCATTACCTGGCCTTAATTAGGTCAGGAACCCCCGCCTTCCCGAAGCCAAGCTAGTTGACAAATGGTGTATAGTCCATCATCTCATTAATCTCATTGTATAGTGAATTATCTCATTTGATCATGTGCGTCACTGCACACACTGTTCACCTTTGGCGTCCCCATCCTAGAACTGCAATCGCAAAAACGCAAGAGACCGACCGGTTGTTATTGCTGACATCACTTTGTGAAGATTGGAGCTTAAAGGCACCGTCCACCCTAAGTTGAGGATGTTGAGCATTTGGCAGCATAAAACAGTAGGGCCTCCTATCAAGCCAGTGCCCAAGTCGCGGCGCAAAATGCCGCTTGGGAAGCGAGAAAATCGCTTCGGAATAGCGAAAATGCACGAGGACCATCATCTACGACCGCCTCTCTCCATCCATGCCCGTTCATTTGTGCGCGCTCATCCAATCACCGTTCTGAAAAGCCGGTTTGTGTGTTCTCCGGAATGGGGATTTTCGCGGATTCTCGACTTCATATTTGGAGTCAGGGACATGAGAAAGGCCCGAAACGACAAACACCTGAAAGTCGAGAATCTGGGTGGACGGTGCCTTTAAAAAGGAGAAAAAGCATGGAGAAAACACCGAAAACGCTTAGCAGAAGGGCTGTATGTGCCTATAATCCGTGATGAGGACGCCAAAAGTGGACAGTATGTGCAGTGACAGACATGGTCACATGAAATGATTTGACTGTGGTCTAGTATAGCCTCGACTTGAGCGCTAAAATGATGTTCTTGCGTCATCCACAACATTTGCGCGTGATGGTCATGATATTCAAAATTGAATGAGTGTGCTTGATGGCTATCTATGTGCTGTTGTTAGCAATGCAAGTAGATACATAATTTTTACGGACAAGTCTAGTAGACTATAGTGCTCACCTGTATGGAACCATCCATCCGCATCAATAGGTTCTCCATCGTCAACATAACCTTGCATGACTGTTGGACCGCGAACGTAGATTTCTCCCAGTTCGTTCTCCTCTAACTCTTTTCCTGCGCACACCACCTGCAAGCATTTTTCTAAACTGACTAGTATGAGCTAATGGCACAATCTCGGACCAGGGTCACACGGAAGCGCATGCGACGCGGGCTTGGGCCGGTATTTACTGCAAGCTTCTACGCGCTCCAACGACAACGATAGTGCTTTTTGTGAAAAGAAAGACCGTTCGCTTCCGTTTTGCTTACCTTAGTTTCACTTGTACCCACAACACAATTACCATACTCAGAGCAGTCCTTATTCGCAACATTGGGAATCAGCGCAGCTGGCGCGCCACTGATCTGCCCTGCTCCTGCGTATGAGTATATTTTTCTAAAATTGTCAAGCTCGTTCCCAAGACTTACCATCAGACATGTACTTCACAGATGGGAATCTCTCAAGGAAATCTTGTCGAACACTTTTGCCCACGACTGGTCCACTGCAGAGAACATACTCGAGCGATGAGATATTGAAATCTTCGGGTACCGGCTGTTTCAGAGCCGCCACAATAGCTTTTGGCTCAGCTATCAGCAAGCGGGGCTGGAAACGACAAATTTACTAAAATCTCCCCTTGTTGATATCGATTCTAACCCTGTAACAATGCAATGCATTGAGGAAGGCAGTGTGCGCGTAATCTTTCAGAATCACGGAAGTGAACCCCAATATCAATGCTATATCCATGCACAAGAGGCCAAATATATTGGCTAAAGATGAGCAGAATAACAGTTGCTCTTGAGAAATGTCATGGTAATTCTTGTGGCCCATCATGTTGTGCATACACCTGAACTTTTATATGGTTGAGTGATTTCAGAGGTTCTGATACAGTGACAGTGGGTGCAGACAAATCTAGGTATCTTGAATTCTTATGGAATACGATTGGGAGGTGTTAGCTTATAAGACATTGCAAAAGTGGCAGTTTACAAGATTCATTCGTTACCGAGTCGACTTCAATTCCTCGCCAAGACCGTATCCTCGATTACGGTACTCGGCGAGAAGTATAGTTGAGCCTCCGGCCACAAATGCGCCGATAATGGCTTAGGTAAGGCCTCACAGTCAGTCTCCGTATAAAAACCGAGGTTGAGCTGGCTCCAAATATTTCAAATTGCTTTACTTTTTGTAAATGTCAGCAGCAGTCGAAACGCTTTCATGAGTGAGCATTGACCCAACCAGCAGACCATTGGCCGCAGTATCATATGGAACCAAGGCTATGTCTGTTGAGCTGAAATAATACGAAAATTTTGTAGCAGTATTTCTGTAAAGGAGAAGACCGACTTGTAATCCTCGCTAGGAATTATTTCACTAGCAGGTCCAAGCACAAGTTTTTGAAAATTGATTACTCCATCAGGCAAAGGCCCAGTTGCACAGGGGCTTCTCACGCAGATTACCTTCTATAATTTCATATTCAGTCAGTAAACATCAAATAAATGACTAGGCTACCTTCAGATCATACTTCTGGGCTAATGGTAGGACCGTGTCTAACGCTTCTTCGTCGGTAAAAACTACAGAAGCTTCTGTCTCTGATATTTGCTGCTCTAGATCTTCTGAAATATGTAGCTGGTCGTTCCTTTCAAAAGCCCTGGCCATACTTTACCCGTGTTACCCGTAATAGTGGCGTTACCAGTGTTACTCGTGTTACTAGGCTGTTTAGTAGTGAATGATCACAGATACATTTTCATTCTGAGGCCCCGGGCAGACTTCACGCGATTTGATCGTCGCGACTGAATCGCGACAAGACAACTGTTACAACATTATTCCGTGCCGATCAACTTGCATTTCGGTTGTGATACTTTTCCAGCCCGGAATTTTTGTATGTAAGGCTTTGGCCATACTTCGCCCGTGTTGCCGGTGTTGAAAGTGTTGCCGGTGTTGAAAGTGTTGGAAGTGTTGAAAGTGTTGAAAGTGTTGCCAGTGTTGAAAGTGTTGAAAGTGTTGCCGGTGTTGAAAGTGTTGAACGGAGATCATCAGTCTAGCAGTTTCATTCTTTCTCGAACGATCTCACCGGCTGGTGAATACGTTGGAAATGGATTGGGGAATGAGAAATGAAATTGAAATGAGATGGGGAAGATTTTCGCATGCAAAAGATCCCCAAACAAACTTTTTGGAAAGTGGACGGCTTGTCTGGAATAGGCAATCTCCAATATTCAAAAGCTGAAGTCTGAGTAGTAATGTGTGTTTTAGTTCGAATCCTGCCGCGCTTGCGATTAGTGAGTAAAGGAACTAAGTGAGGTTTGCAGCGTTTTCCTATTCCAGACAAGCCGTCCACTTTTCAAAAAGTTTGTTTGAGGGTCTTTTGCATGCGAAAACATTCCCCATCTCATTTCAGTTTCATTTCTCATTCCCCAATTCCATTTCCAACGTATTCACCAGCCGTTGAGATCGTTCGAGAAAGAATGAACCTGCTAGACTGTTGACCTCCGTTCAACACTTTCAACACCGGCAACACTTTCAACACTTTCAACACTGGCAAAGTATGGCCAAAGCCTAATATGAAAATGAATGGAAATCTCGACGATTAGATCGCGACGATCAAATCGCGTGAAGTCTGTTCGGGGCCTAAAAGACAATATCATTGACTAGTGAGTAACACGAGTAACACTGGTAACACCGGTAACTCGGGTAAAGTATGGCCAAAGCCAAATAAAACCATTGTGAAGGCTAAACCAATGCGATTTGACAGGGCTGGTGTTCCCCTGTCATGTTCCTTTTGCGCGGCAGCGCCCTATTGTTATAGGTTAGCGTGCATTACGCTGTCCAGGGTTGCCCGTGCCAGCACCATGCTAGTGCCTTGCCACGACGATCGATTAGTCCACATGGGCGCTGGCACGGCCCCAGGATAGCACAGCGCTTTCATGCGGTTAGTTTTGACGCACCTTACTTAGCACTGTTGCAAGAATCGAATTCTGAGACAATCGATCGAATTTGGTGAAATTTTCGATATGGATATTTATTATTTATTATAATTATTATATTTATTATATTTATAAGTTCCCACCTGCTGAAACGGAGGTGTCGGTAGTTGTGACCACTCCACCACATTTCATCACTGCCAGATGTGATATCACAAAAGCTGGAGAATTGGACATCACTAAGCATGCTACCTCATCGCGCCCGAACCCTCTGAAGATCCACAGTATAGTTTAAGGTGAGATAGCCAAGCCTCAGTGAGTTCAACTTACCCTCTAAAAAGATATGATGCTGCCGCTTCAGTCTGATACAGTAGCTCTTTGTACGTCAAATTCTCAGCTCTACCATCACCGCAGATCTTAAAGAAAAGTCTTCGATTAAAGTATTTATATTGGGACCGTTAATCTGTAAATAAGCGGAAGGCTTGGTTGTTTTCTTGCAGTGACACAACTTATGCTTTATTGTTGAAGGAAAAACACTGGATATCGCCCACCAGAGCTATTTTGCTGGGATTTTCCGCATGTTCACGCATTGCGTCCATGACTTTCTCGTGAAAAGGTCCTTTGGAAACTGCCACCGCCGGAAAACGAGATGTCAGCGTTTTCTGAATATCCGCTCATTTCTCCGAATCGTGACCGTTATATTCCACGAACCATGCGGAGTAGATGCATCGTGAGAGGAGCCTTGCGAAGAAAACCTTGGACGTGGCGGAGCGACATCTTAGCGAGATGTTATCGGCTGATGAGCCTATTGAATGAACCTACTCAAAAATCAAAAGGAGAACTCAAGATTACATGTTCATATTCAGAGCTGTTCACTCGTGTAAACCGGTCGGAATGGCTTTTAATCCAAACAAAAATGGCAGTTTCTATATGACCAATTTCACAGTTGTCCTGGAAATTTCTTCATTGGTATCCTTAGCCTTTGAATAAGCGATCACTAAGGTGTTCATAATCTCTATACGTATATCTTCTGATGATCACATTCTTAGGGCGCATGCATTAACATCCCCACCGGGAGGGCATCATAGCTTCAGAAGAAAGCTTCATATCCTGAAGCTCCAGATATCTGGTTTCACGCTGTCTATCTATCCGCAAGTGCTTCCACCATCCTTCACTATGAACATCTTGAACGAAAGCAAGAAGCTGTGCAAGCCGCATTTTCCAACTTTTTGTTCGGTCCCCTGATGAACTTCCGAGGCTGGACGTCTTTTGTTCAGAATCATATATCGTCCTTCAAAGTTAACGAAAACCTTCCAAAGTTGTACTGATTATCTAACCCAGTAGTGCTAAAGCAGTTGCTGATGAGAACAAATGAGTTTTTGGAACATCGATTTTTTTCGATAAACCCCAACTTTCGACATGAGGTTCATCGCAAATTTCCTGACTTTGAAACATCACTTCTTTTTACCTTAAACATGATCAGTACTGTTGAGTTAGATAAACAGCACGACTTTGGAATGTTTATTGACTTCGAAAAAAAACATAGAGAAGACGGTCGGCAGCCAGGGATTATCAGGGGATCAAACAAAAAGTTGGAAAATGCGGCTTGCACAGCTTCTTGCTACCGTAGTTAGTGAAGGGTGACAGTACTTACGGATAGGTAGACAACGTAAAATCCAGATCTGGAGCTTCAGGATGTTAAGCTTTCTTCTGAAGCTGCGGTCCCCTCCCCGGCGGGGATGTTAATGCATGCGGCCCATAGTGATGAACCACGGGCTTTCAAAGAGAAACTATTTGTCGATCAGATTTGAGGTTACATAACCGTCTTTGGAAGGGAGGGGACTAATCAAGGAAGTAGAACGACTCCGCGCTTGGTCAGATAAGTCTTTCGGATGAAAGGGCGTATCGTAAGCCGCACACTCAGGGAAAGTTTTTGGGATACTTCACGAAATGTTCGTGAAACGCCCTCGGAGGAACTTTTTTTTACAAGTCTGACACAAATTTTGTACTCAAAAATTATTTCAGTCATTTACAAGTCAAATACTTGCGCAGTTCTGTAACTCTGTAGGTAACCCCCGATCGCAATCCATTCTTATGAGCATGGAAGGTATAAATTGAAATCTATCGCGAAAAACTTCCACACCAACCTCTCTCGCTCATACAGCCGCGTCGATGCCCATTGTTTCCACCGGAGAAGTACCAAAGGATTTCATCTGCTCAGCGTACTTGGACCATGATGGCCTCCACGGCTCCAGATTTCCGTCGAACTTCTGCGAGACGGAGGACAACGTCTATACGAGATTCTCGCGTCCTACCTGATATCTTAACTTCAGAAGGAAAGGATTCCCGACCAGTGGAAAACATCAAGAACCGTCCTTTTCTTCAAGAAGGGCGAACCGGAGGATCTTCGGAACTACCGTCCAATATGCCTGCTGAGTGTGCTGTACAAACTTTTCACGAAGATTATCCTCGCTTGCATATCTAGGACACTGGATGAAGCCTCCCAAGAACAAGCTGGATTTTGCAAAGAATTCAGCTGCATGGACCACATCCAGACGGTTTCAAGGATCATAGAAGTCTGTCGGTTGTTCCGACTGAGCCAAAAAGGCTATACGGCGCCCTGCTAATGCACGTTGGGAGTTTTATGGTGTCGACTCGTTGTTAGCAAGCGTTTGTGGTTACCTGATAGAAACCATGCCTCATCAACACGTTGTTTATGTTCAAGTTAAGGTAGATACTAGGAGATACTTTGTACAGCATACTAGGAGGTAAAATTCACCGGCAAGGCAAGATGTACTAAATTTCTATGCATAGTATTTGCCTGAGCGATGCCGTTGCGTCTATTGAAAGTAGTACATGACTGGAAGAAGCGCAGAGAAAAAGAGCAGCGAGAGCGCACGGAGGAAGAGGAGTGACGCGCGATACACGACTGCCCGCGCGGACAGCCTCTGCTGCAGTGAAGAGCAATGAAAACGTTTGTCAAGGATGTTATTGCCATTAAATCTCCTCTCAAATCAGTGTCATTCATTTGCACTGCAACTCTACCACATAATGGTGAGTTTTCAGTTCTTGGAGGTGCATGGAGAAGCTCAGCGACTTTCTCGGCGTCAGGCTTGACGGCTATCTGATGTCTCGCAGGCATAGCTTTTGCCTGTCGCCAATGTATATTTCTTAGCACATTTAGCGATCTGTAGCGGTTACCGTTTCCGCTAAACCTTGGAGGTGCCGTCCACCCCAAGTTAGGGGTCTTGAGCTTTTAGCATCTTGCTATCGTAGAACCCTATCAAGCTAATACCCAAGTTGCGGTGCAAAATGTCGCTTCGGTAGCGAATAAATCGCTTCGGAATACCGAGGAGGCATGAGGACCACAAGTCGACAACGGTAGTGCTGCATAGCGCAGTGCGATCATGCGCAGCCATAGAGACAGAGGTTTAGGGTTCAATGTCCGCTTGGTGCTAGTGATGATTCCATTGCGTGTCAGCTGATCCTTAGTGATTACAGTAATGGCCAACTGAAGCACTATTTCAGCACAGCCGATGATGACAAATTGTGTAGGAGAAAATACATAAAAACAAAATTAAGCATTATTACCATGCGAAACATATCAGTAATACCATATCCCCTTCCAGTTATACCCGCCCATTCATGCGCGCCCGTCCAATCACTGTTCCCAAGTAACGGCTCGCAGGTTTTCCGGAGGGGTTGTCGGAGTTTTCGTCCATTCTCGACTTCGTATTCGGAATCAGGAATGGGAAGGCCCTGGAATGACCAAAACATAGAAATCGAAAATCTTGGTGGACGGTGCCTCAACTGTTCTACGATGATTACATTATGTGAGGACTGGAACCGCGCTTGTCGCATGTCAAGGCTTATCATTATATATGCTCACAACATATCAAACCTGAAGCAAGCGAAATCTACTTAAAGCATAGCTTCCATAGCAATCAACAGAGAAAGAGAATTTGTCGCATTCATGCTTAATCAAATGAGTCTTTTCTTTCAGACAAGATCATCTGAGGGTAAATTTCATCGACTCTTTCTTTGGTGATGTTGGAATGAAGTTTATTTTACTGTAGTTTGTTATCGGTTCAATAGTTCCTGTCGTTTGCAGATTCGCTTGATGACGAATCGCGCAGCGTTCTACGGAGAGTAAGTCTTACATCCACCTTTAAGATGAGATGGTAAATTTGAGGAGTAGAGAGGTACGAAAAAAACTTGAAATTTGAAAAGCAGATTGTGCGGCTTTTTTTCAAAACAACAAAGCTCAAATCTATTTTTTGATATCTTCTGCAGCTTTTACCATTGCTTTAGTCTTTCTCTTTGTCAATCCAGGAAGATAGAAATCTTTACAAAACGATGTGTTTTGGAGCGTTTGCATTTATAATCATCCTGTGCGTGATAGTCGTCATCATCGTCGTTGCAGCGGCACCCAGTCGGAAGAGAACACAGTGAGAGCTAATTTACTTTGTAGGTCCTCCTTGGAACTCGATAAAGTTCTATGTTTCAGGGAAGGGTTCAGAGAGGCTCCTCAACCGGTTCATATAAGGATTCCACAATATGATGTGCCTCGCACTGAAGATGAGGAAAACGCTCCGTGAGTGTAGAAGAAAGATCATCGGTGGTATCTTAGGATTGGGTTAGCATACAGGAATGTAGAATCGGTTGATATGGAAGTTCCACGGTATGATGCACTCGAGAATGATGGCGAAGACAGCGATGTGTGAGTGTATGCCTGGTCTTTGGTGGTGGGCGAGACGAGTTTCAAAACAAATTTGATAGTTTCAGCTTCTAATGAAAGCGCCCTTACCTCAATCAAAGGGAAAGTGTTGAGCTTGTGCTACATATTGCGCATTCGCAAAAGTCTTTTTTTTTTGGCTTCGCGAACTCTGTCAGCTTGCTTACATTATTCATTTGACGAGCCCGAGAGGTCGCATCTACAAGTTCCAATTTGAAAGCGCTTTCACCCAGGTCTACCGGAGGAGCGGCGGGCTGCCATCGAGTCTACCAATGGTGGAAGATACAACTTCTGACATTGGTTGTCCTGCGGCATCTCAGGTTCTGAATTTGTTGACCTCTGCAGCCAGATTTATAGGTGATTCAAGCACGCAGAGACTGGACGCCGTTGCGTACGACAAGACAATCCTCCTTTAGAGACAGCAGGTGACAGGAAAAATGAGCGTGCGCGTGATCAAAGAGGCGCAGACAGCGTCCGCAATGGCGCCCTGTCTCTGTGTGCGATGAGTGACCTGTACCCCTCATCGAAGTGAAGCACAAGCCTGGTGCCTATGGACGATGCGGATGAGTCTAAGAAGCACCTTCTAGGTTGGGACATATCGTTTATGCGTCTTTATAGCATCATAACTCCTTCCAAGGTCAGCAAATTCTTAATCGAAAAATAGATTCGGACTCATTTCACCGAGACGAACCTGTCTTATATCGAACATTTGTCTATGAATAGTTGTTTATTTCACAAAATACAGAAAGTGCGAGTGAGTCTGCTCCGCCCTTTGTGGCAAATTCCGCTCACTTGGCCAAATCTGTCCAGATTGCATAAAGTCATGGATGAGAGCTTGGAAATTGAGCGGACTTGCTTTGTGAAGCTTACCCGATGGAAGGCTCCGGAATAGCATCTTTTAATGCACATCAGTAGCTTTTTTCATTTAGATAGGCCTGGTTATTTGGTGGCGCTTATTTTACAGTTAGGTTTTGCCCCACGAACACAATATTATACCCAGCTTGCTCAAGTACCAGCGACGAGCCTCTAAGTTAGACTCCCCCCCCCCCTCTCTTCTCCTAGAGACGGTCAAGAGGGCGATTGCTCCAGGGTCTCTCCAACTCAGCACCCCAATTCAGAACTCGCGAAGTTTTTAAGAATAATGCGCTAATTGGCGTCCTGCTGGCAGTAAAAATCTTGCTTCTTGACCTACACCCCTCCTCTCCTTTCTCTCACTCAAAGGCAGCATCCAGGCAAATCTGAATTTAGGGGCTCAGATTTGGGGGGGGGGGGCTCTCACGTGGAAAGCAGTCTTGAGGCCCTAAATAAGACTCTGCCCAAGCGGCAGCTCAGATAGTGCACTCACGGCTAAGATATTCGGCTCCAAACTATGCCCCGTGATCGTATCCGCATGGATTCGTGGCGCTTGTGCGAGGATCCACGCAAAACTGATGTGCCGAGCCATGAATCCATGCGAATACGATCAAGGGGCAGTTTGGAGCCCAATATCTTAGCCGTGAGTGCGCTATCTGAGCTGCCGCTTGAGCAGAGTCTTATTTAGGGCCTCAAGACTACATTCCTCGTAAGTAGATTCATTTTTAAGTTTCTAGGCCCTTAAATGGAGTAGTGATAATTGTCAAGCACACTGTGCAATAAATACCTCATTCATTCATATCGCGATGCCTCATTTGAACACAACGGAGATTTTGACGACCGATTTTGCTCCAGTCGCGCTTTAAAACTTTTTTTGCGTCAATAAATGTCCATAATTCCAAATTTGAAAAAGCACTGCAAACAAGCAAGACAAATTTGAAGCGTTTTATTCTTTCCATGAGAATACAAATCTGAATCAGAAAGGCAATTCGACTAGCTATTTTCCTTAGCTTAGCGGTGGTGGTGTAGAACTCAGTGGGTGTAGTACACGCAGTTTATATGCTTATTCAAAAAACCAAGTGATTTCTCTTCAAATCATACACGAAATTCTTCCAAGATCCTTTTGGTACAGAATTTATTTTCATAAAAAGGCAGACACTTATGACGGTAAATTCGTGTTGAAGCTCGTCTCCCTCCCTATACAAAATTATAAGATAAGCTGCATGGAAATTTCAAGAATTTTCAGGCTAGTGGAAGAATGAAGACAATCGTATGAACGGATACATTCCAAAATGTGACAAATTTTTTTGTAAACTATTTGTATCTATTCTAACATTAATGAATGTTTTGTGGGATATAGTTCTGACATACTAGTTTGCCCTCATTGACCTATGGAAAATAGAAGTTCTCCAATAGTTAAATGCTTGATTGACAGCTTATTCTGTGTCCGTAATTTCCTGTGCTCGCCTGTGTTAGCGCCGTGCTAGGACGTGGGTCAATCAGTACGAATGCGTCCATCGGGTGCCAGCATAGCGCTGGAACGGAGCTGGCCCCCAAGCAATCCCGGATATTGCTTCAAGAGGATACTCCTAAAATATCATGAGGTTTTGTCCCGATATTTTCAGCCGGGTCAACCAGCTCGAAAACCCGCTTCACTATAATTGTTTTTTTATTAGAAACATCTGTTTGATTTTGTCACTACAGCATTCAATCCTCATAGTACATTATGTATACGTAAGGCGGATGATGCTTCCATTCTCTTTGTATTTTGAAGTTTACTCAGTGATGACCATACTAGTTATGGTCTTCTACCTGTCATATTTTCACAGCGCGGTCTGAGGTATATAAAGGAAGCTTGAGTCGTGAACGTTTTCGCTTTGAACTTTCCTGATATTGAACTCAAGAGCATGTTTTTCTTTCATACCAAATACATGCGAGCATCATCACAAATATGTAAATTATACAAGAGCAATAGTGGAATCACAGACAATGTACGAACGACGCAAAGTGTGCAAGTGCACCGAGTTGCGGCGAAGCTTGAACGAGCAATCACTAAGAGAGTATCCTCTTCTGATCGCTACTCAGCAACGATTCCATCGCGTGGTATGGCCATTCAAGGAATAAAAAGTATACAATATGACTACGTTACAGCAATTTGAATGCTGTTCTAGTAAAGGGTGATGAAGGTTAGGTGTTATTGACTTTTTATGCACACCATCTTAGCGTCTGTCTCCTTCGAAGCAGTCACAATCAGTCGAAGTTTCTTCTGCAAACCGATGTTTAGAGTAAACTCTGATTTTTTTGGGGGGAGGTTAAATATGGAGAACCAATCAACCTTTGACTCAACTGGCTTGGCAGCTGGAAGGCGGGGCTTTGTGACCTAGTTTAAGGCCGCTTGTGCCCGCGACACAGTCTGCGTCTCCGTCGCGCGGGTGCTCTCTGATCATCATCTTGCCTTTATATCTCGAAGCCCCGCCTTCCAGCCGTCAAGCCAGTTGAATCAAAGGGTACCTTTCATTCAGCGGCTTGCAATGGTCGTTTGTCCTAAGCTGTCCATTACCCCAACGTCGCCTGAATAGCTATCATTGCAAATATCAAAATGATAACAAATTTTTTTTCACGGACCAGTATGGAACCAGCCGTCGCTATCGACAATAGAAGAGATATCCCCGGAGCCGCTCAGATATCCTTGCATTAACGTGGGACTCCGTAAGCAAATCTCACCTTCGGTGCTGGCGGGAAGTGCGACACCATTAATGGGGTCGATAACCTAGGTAACAATCTTCGGATCAAAATCGAACAAGAAAAATCGAATAAAGGAAAACGATTTGCAATCTGCTTCGGCAACATAATTAGGTCTTATGATTCTAGCAATATAATAGATGAAATCTTAGGCTTGAAGCAGAAAACCACGAGTTTTGCATTAGCTGGGGATAATAATCCAGATAAAAATTCATGCAATTTGGCTTCGAGCATCGGAGCTGGGCTGTTTTTATGAACAATTGTGTGCGACTGTGTACTTTAATGCGTAGTAGATCATTTTTGGAAGTTCTCGCAAAATTACTGACCCAGGAGAAGACAAGATGTCCACCAAAAATGCCTTGTACTTTACAGAGATAGTTGAGATAGTCTATTTTGTGAGATTTCCTTTATTTTAATTTGTTTTACGCATGTATTTTTTAATTTGTTTTACGCATGTATTCCTTTATTTTAATTTGTTTTACGTCATATCTGACCAAATTTTTACCTTTTGGTGGAATGTCGGCAGTATTGTCGCTGTCCCATGCCGTACTCGCATTGGTGACACGAACCCGACTCCACATTCTGGCCAACCGTAAACTGAATAAGTCAGTTTTACAATATTTGCATCGCAGATGTTTCCTTTTAATTCCAGAAAATCCTGGAGATCTCTATGAGCGATTTTATTGCTGCTATGCTTGATAAGTTGTCTTATTTTTCAAAGGATGCCTGCTTTTTAAAAATTATTGAATTTGAGTTATACGAAAAATGTTAGATATGGTTTTTCTGTTGACTAACTCTACATGTTTTGTTCATCATACATAGCTCAATATTTGCAAATGATACTGAAAATTTGAACTTACATGGTATCATAAATCTAACGTGATTAAACTTCCGCAAAAAAGTGTCCATAAGTGAGGAAGAGAATGGTGCACCGCCAATTAATACCACTTCTAGCGATTTTATGTCATAATTATCCACTATAGGATCTTCCACAAAAGCAGTTGCCGTCTCCGGCAGCATGTGAACGACCTTGGGCTGAATTACAGAAAATTTGAGCGTTCGGAGGAATTTTAGTACTTCAAAAAATTACCCTGTATTTCTGCAACATTTCCAGTAGCTGGACAGTGTTGCTTTTTGTGGCAATTATTCCCGTGCTGCCCTCCAATAGAATCCGATTAAGATGTGCGAAACCAAAGATATGGTTGAAAGGCATGGAGAGAATAGCATGTTCATCACAGGGCTCATATTTTCCTTCTTTATTATCAAAGAACATCCTTTTGTAGACATAGTCTGTGAAGTACCTGCAAAAGATATGTGAACCACAAATGTTTACCCACAAGAGTCCAGTCACTTTACAAAAGCGTTTTCAGAAAATTGCTAGAGTAAAACATACATATATTCACAAAAGGAAAAACTGAGTAATTTATTTCGAAGCTTGAAGTAGTAAATCTGAATCTGTAGTTTACAGTTTTCAAAAGGAGCTTTCTACGAACTCAGATTTTGTCAGTTTGAAAGCAAGTTCCTTCTTTGAGTTGCAAAATTTACGCCTTCCATTGTCTGCAATTAGCTAATGGCGCAATGAGCAGCATAATTAATATATTGATTTTCTGGACTATATTGTGAAGGATGAGGCAGTCAAATTTCGCGCCTAACATTGAAGCTCCACCCTGGCCGCTTTGGCGGCAAAATAAAAACGGGGCATGGGATCTCGGGGTCGATACGGGTCTCGACACGATATAGTCGCTGGTCAGTGGGTGGGTGGTGCTTCAAGTTGCTTGTGTTTCGCGACCAATGCACCCTTCCATGCTCCTCCTCTCCTCCAGCCCTTATTTGCAAAAGTTACTTGTTTTTGTTTTTTGTTCATGTACGCTTTTTCCACTCTCTTTCCACTCTTTTAGAATGTACACCTTTTCAGACAGCAGCTCAAAAAACGTCTGCAACTGGATGCATTGACATTTTTATGGGATTCCATAACTTTTGAGAAATTCAAGAATAAACCACTCACTTTGAATTTACATCTAACATTGTTGAGATATTACTATGTGACATAACTATTCCATTTCGTGATTCTGGCACTCCCGACTGGTACTGGATGAAGGCTGCGTTATTACCACTAAATTTTTTTTGAGATTACCTACGAAGAGACGGCGAGTTGGAAAAAGGAAATCACCTGTATTTGTACTTTTGGAATTGTACTGTATGTGTCTGCATCACATCTTCCCAATTTACAACTCCTTCTGGTAGTAGCTGATCTGCAGATGAAGTAACGCAAATGATAGTCTGCAAGAAGAAACCTCGAAATTCTGTTTATTGTTTGGAGTCATGTCTTTCGGTGTTTTCTGCAAAAAGACGCGAAACCACAAAAAAACAATAACCGTGTACTTTCCCACCGTAATCAATCAAAGAACAGACCTTGATGAATGGACAACTTTTTGCTGCTGCCATCACCTTTGACAGTAGAGCAAAACTAGTTATTGTCGCTCTGCATTGGCTAGTTGTGAACGCTCTTTCAAGCTCATCTGAATGAAAACTCAGTTTTTGTATGCAGAAGTGGATCCATTGGGTAGATCAAACCTTTGATACAGTTTTCATCTGCGCACATACTAACACCTCCTACCATCATCGTACCCAAATACGATGGGACAAATTCTATGCAGCTGGGAAGTACACTGCAGCACACGCTCAAGTGTCCAAAGCCACTGAAAGGAAAAAATGCTTGTTGTCAAAATTCAGGAAGATGAGATTGGAGATTACCTGTTAGATAGGAAGCTTGCAAGAGCATAGGTCTGCTTATGCAGATCCGAATAGCTAATGCATACGGATGGATCGTCAGCAAGCATCTAAAATTACACAAAATGGACGGCGAATCTATTAGGTCCGTCCGAAATTTCTCGTTGGTTGTCAGACCCATGCTTAAAACATTTAGAACAAGGATAGACAGGATAGACATAGACATAGACAAGGATAAACATTATTCGATGCAGAAATTCTTCCTCTTTCTAAAGGTTATGTTTCTGTTCAGATTCCCTCAATGTCCGCTCAATAATCGTCAGGAATCTCCAACCCATGATTTTCACTCATCTTCAGTTTGACTATTTTTAAAAATTCCAATTTCAACTTTTGGACTAGCTTTGATAACATGTTGGATAGGATAAACAAAATGCAATAAAATGCATTTTTCTGGCATCCCTAACCGGCTCCTCAAAATTTTTGAAAATACTTTTCTGATGCCGTCAAATTCATCTTTGGGCATCTCAGTCCTCACAGAACAGTAAACTACTAGCAACCAAAGTGTCATTCAATGCAGTTTTTTCTTCTCTTGATAGACTTCTTTTCTTTTTATAACTTTTGTTTTCAGACGCGCCCCAGGTTGTACCCAGAAAATTCGAAATTCAATATTTCGAACCGCTGAACACTCATTTGCTTGCTAAGATTAGTGCTAAGTCGTAATCTGTTTTTGTAAGCTTCTAATTCCGAAGATTTTTCAGTGTTTGAAGCGATTGTGTATTCCGCGACTTCGCAAAAGAGGGCTTTTGCAAAAAAATTATTTTAAGAAATACTGAAGAGTTAGTTGATGAAGCCGAAATAGTTCATTGTATTGCACTTTGTTTATTCTATCCAACTTTTAACAAAGCTAGTTCAAAAGTTGTAAATGGAAATTTTAAAAAGAACTGAAGATGGATGAAAATCATGGGTTGAAGAAATTGAATATTGAGCGAACATTAAAGGAATCTGAACAAAAACAGAGCCTAGAAAGAGAAAGAAATTCTCCATCGAATATTGCTTACAGCGTTTGTTAACTTCATTCTAAGTGGTTTGAGCATGGCTCTGGAAACAGCGCGAACTTTCGGACCACCTAATATTAGATTGATTCATAATTAATGCACGTTTTTCTCACATCTTCTTTCAAGAGCTGGTATTTGATGTGTAATCAATCCCCTCAAAAACTTTTTATGCTGTCTGAAAGAGCGTTTTTTCTAGTCTCTTATGTGGTCCTTCGCTTTCGTACTTCTCCGTTCATTCTTAAGTTCTGAGCCTTCACATAAAAGAGACTAAATCCCAAAATATTTGGTTTTCACTCTTTTTGCCCTAAATCCATGAGGTATAGCCGGATTAATTTTAAAAAATATGCGTAAGGATTAGGAGACTTTGTGCTACATTATGCTATTTAAACAAAGTTTTCCAAGAATTCTGAGCCGAGAACTCGATCGCGAACTTGAATGACCGTCGCGGCCATTTCGTGCCGTATAAAACTCTTAGGCAAAAGGCAATTGCAGAACTTTTGCACGATATAGCAAGAGTAGGCCTTATTCACTTAATGGTAGAAAAGCGCTGGGGTTTTCTCACTTTTCAGCGGAGATAAATGAAATAATTTGAGAAATGACCGATTTTTGAACCTGCGAGATGCCAGAAAAAAGTGGTACTTTCGACTTTTGAATCCAAGCTTGGCAACGCTGCTCGGAAGACCCTTGGCTATACGATGAGCGAAGTTTGCTTCATCCCACCTCATTTCAACATAAGCTATGCCCCCTCAAAATAGAGGCTTCCGAAAAAAGTTGTCGGCAATCTTCAGGCCAAAAAATCTTTCTTGTGATAGATACAGCCACGCAAAAGTATCTGATTTATAGCCACTGATTTGCTGGTTACTGTAGTTTTTATTGCGCCCAGAAATGTCTTCTTCAAAAAGAATTATTTTGAATGAAAGTTGAAGTATAGAAAACGTGCATTAATTATGGCATTCAACCTAATATAGTCGTCCTCACCCCGCTAGTCGGTCGGTGGACGAATTCGAATTCGAACTGGAGCAGGCAGGTCGCGGGAGAGCACGGCACTTTAGCTCTCCGTTCAAATTCACGCATTCACTTTGCGTATTTCTTCGCCATTGCTTAGCAGTTTTTGTATTGTTACAACGTTTTTGACCTATATTGAGTTTTTGTAATTGCTGAGCGTTTTCTCCTGCCGCGCTCTGCCGTGACAGGCCTGCTCCAATCCAAATTTGAATTCGTCCACCGACCGACTAGTGGGGTGAGGGCGACTATATCTTGCCCTTCATTCGTGCCCGGAAATGAAAACGAAAACGCGTTCAATTTGGAAAGATTCAAAGTGGGTGGCATCCTAGAATTCTGTTACTGTATCTTTTCAATACAGTATTTTTGAATTCAAAATCTTCGCGAAAGGAGACATTTTGCAGTTTTATTGTTTGATGGAGGTGGATAGATTAAAGGCTTACCAGAGCAGCTCGACTGGGATGCATAGCGGCATGCTCCACAATCTTCAAAAGAACCTTTCGATGAAATGGAACATTGCAGAGTGGAATTTCTTCGAATTTCGAGGCCAGAACATTTCTAAAAGAACAGGTCCTTTTGATGAAACGTGTCATAGGAAGCACGGATATGTCATCACTTATTAGGGATAGAAATTAAGAGGGAGAGTAAGAGTGAGAAATGCAGCCACCAAAATCACTATCTTGATGCTTTTTCTAGTATAGGATTCAAATGACTTTTGTGTTACCTTTCTAGTTCTTTCTCAGTTGCTTGCCTGGATGCCGATGGCTCAGCCGTTGCTCTCTTTGGATTTAGTTTGGCTGTCTATAATAATTGGAAGAAAAGTACATCGGAATAAAATACTACCAAAGCGCTTGACTTACTCCCAGATTTCTTAGTTGTAGAGGGGTTTGATGTGAAGAAGAAGAAGAGGCAGAACGTGTGCTTTCGCCACTGGTGAGAGCGCACGCATTCTAGAAAAAATTACTTGAGTTTTTTAGAACATAGAAATTCTGACGGGATAAAATGGGAAGAAATATTCCACCTTTGCTAGATTCGTGAGTCCCCTCCGGTTAATCACTCGTGATAGAATTTGCGTCGATTTCATGGTGTTCTGTAAAGCACTGAAGAGTTTATTTTCTGGTATTCACTAAATGACGATGAATAACAGAATTACGAAGATGGCGAAGATGAACGTTTTCTGGTTCCAGAGTGATCTCAATGGCATTCGCCCATTGAGAGATAGCAAAACCGAGGAACACACAGGTTTAGAAAAAGCCTGATGAGATAATGGATTAGAGAAAGAAAAGGAAAAAAAATTTGTGCAGCGCTACTGTTTGCGCTTGTGGTTTGTGATTATCTCCCTGAGAAAAATTCGAAATTTTTTGAAGGCATAAATCACCGGAATGACGCTCGCATGACGCTCGCACTTGTCTTGCTTATCAATGATCAGTAAGTTGAAAAACATCTTTTGTTTGTCATCACGTGAGCATTCTTAATGTTTGCAAGAAATTATATAGCGCTATAAAGTCGGCGTCAAGCAGTACAAATTAGCATAGTTTTTGAAACACGACAGAAACTATTAGGTCGTTCCGAAAGTAATGTCGCTTTTTTCAAACGTACGCCACATCTCGTAGAACAAAAGTATGTAAGAGATTCTGGTAGCATTTGATGCAGCATTTCATTCTTTTTCTAATGGTTATATAACCACTGAACAGAATTCAATAACTTCTGGAAAAATTATCAAAATCTGCGACCCATGCTTTTTGAGAAGGCCAAGTTTCACAATTTTTCTGAATTTTCATAATAAATCTCGATAGGAGTCCAGGTAATGGATGGATAGAGCAAACCCTACAGGAAACAACACTGCTTTTTCCTACTTTCCAGAGCTCGTCATAATTTTTGTATCGATTTTATGATGGAACCACCGAATTTTTGCAGGCTCGTCTCAGGCACAAATGCATCAAACACCAATAAATCTTCGGATTTTGAAACTCACAAAGATGGATTACGGTTTGACACTAATTTTGCAAACCAAATGAGCATTCACAGCTTCAGATTAGCAGCTTTTAAAAATTCCGGATACATCCTGGGGCGCCCTGGGAAACCCGAATTATGATAATTTTATCCCGGAAAACTTGATGAATCGGAGACAAAAACAACTGTAGAAAGAGGAGAAAAAGCTGCGTCGATTGACACCTCAGTTGCTTGCCGATTGTTCTTCTTTGAGGGCTGAGAAGACCAAATATGGAATTTAATAGCATTGAAAAATTCATTCCAGAAACTCTAAGAGGCAAGCTAAGGAAAAGAAAAAATTACTCTGTGTCCTATAAGGTTTGCTCCATCTACCTGTCGCTTATATTTCTTCGAAGAATAGGTACAAAAATTTTAAAAAATCGCCAAACTTGACCATGGCAAAAAGCATGAGTCGCAGACTTCGGTAATTTTTCGAGAGCTCACTGAATAATATGCAATGAAATTACAACCATTAGAAAGAAAATGAAATGCTGCATCGAATGCTTCCATGAGCTCTGTAAATCTTGATTCCATGAAATGTGGCGCTCATTTGAATAAAGCGAAATTACTTTCGGAACGACCTAATATTTTTTGCCAGACCCCAGAATGAATCGAAAGAATCGAGCCTGTCCCATGCTGTCATTCAAAAACATTGTAACAAGCCAGTAATTGCTTATTTTACTATTTTGTAGATTTTCAAAAGAACCACGATTGAGGTAATGCATTTGCGGGTTGGGTATGAAATACTCGGCGTAACACGAGATGCAACCAGGGCTCGACACGAGGTGGTCAGTTGGAAATGCAAAAAACGAAGTCTCCCTTAATTTTTGCGGATTTACGAAGTCCTCTTTGACCCTCCACCATAATCCCTAGAAATCACCAAAAAACCAAACGTCGACTAAAAAACGTCGTAATTTGTGTCAGCTTTTGTGTCTTTTCGCTCTCAAAAACGGAACCCCTTTTGATTTTTTGTTCAAAAACGATATCTAGCTTGCTTGTACTTATCTTACTTGTTGTAAGCCACCTGCCCCGAGCCCTGGATGCAACACATGATTTTTGGGGGCGGAAATTTCTCACCTTAGCCATATTCTCACAACCAAGTGATGTGCCTGTGAGGCACATTCGGACTCGCTATAATTACGAGCTCTTCAGTATACCAAGACATTGCAAGCCCCGCCCCTTATCAAGTGTCACTTCAGATGCTGAAACCGGCATTTCAAAGAAGGTTTTAAAATCGAAGTTCAGTAGCGAAATTTCCAATCAAGATTAAATTTCGGATTTATTGGTTTTCGAGGTTGGTTTTTTTCAGTAGTGTTTTGCAAGCTCAAGGTTCAGCACTAATAATGCCTAACCAAGATCCAAATTCGTATTGAGGTTTTCGAACACTCTTTCAAAACAATACCAATGTTCAGACACGGGTTCTCAAAATCGCTTTTTCGATGACGAATGTTTTGTGCAATATCGATTTGATTTTTGAACATTTTTTGGAGATAATTATGCTCTTCTCGCAAAAACTGAATTATTTCTCTAGAAGCAGAATGCCCAATGCAAAAATACCTAGGTGATTCTGTGTTTCTTGAGATATCACAGGTCACTAAGGTCATTGAGGCTGCGCAATGCCAGAAAACTTCCTAGACCTAGAGAGACCTAGAAAGGTCGGTGTGGTTCATAAATGGAGAAGATATTTTCATTATTTCGAAAACAACCGAATTTGAATCTATGCTACGGATATTTTTTCCGATAGTCCATTCAAAATTTTTCGAAAACCCGTACCTGAATTTTTATCTGTTTTAGAGAAATTTCGACTAAATCCGAATTCGATCTCGGTTGAGCATTATCGGTACTGAACCTTGACTTTGCAACGAACAAATCTCACTACTGAAAAGAGCAGCCCCGAACCCCTAAATTTAGAATTTGATCTTCACTGAAGCTTTCGCTAGTGAACTTCGATTTTGACACTCTTTAAAATCCCTGTCTCAGCATCTAAAGCGGCACTGGATAAGGGGTGGGCCTTCAATGTCCCGTGCCGGGGTCCCGTGGGCGTCTTTGGGTGAACGAGCACGGATGGGAGGGGATTACTGGAGGGGGTGTTGCTGCTTAGGGATCCTGTGGTCTCTCCGTTATTTCTGAGCGGTTTCTCGCTTCCGAAGCGACATTTCGCACCACGAATTGGGCCTTGACTTTATAGGGGCCCTACTATTGTATTCTGCCAAAAGCTGAAGAACTCTAACTTTAGGTGGACGGTGCCCAAAACATTTGATTTTTGTTAAGCTAATTTGTTTTTGAAGCATAAAAAATCGTCTAATTCTGTACAAATATTGATAAAAACAACAGCTGCTATTTTCTATACCTTTGTAGACCGACTCAAGATTTTTAGAACCACTGCAGACTAAATCCAGTTTTTTCATAGAAAAAAATAAAGAAGCGGTAGGACACATCGTTGTCAATTTGGTTCGGTCTTATTCAGCGAGTGAAAATTCAGGAAAATAATGCACAAAGTATAAACCTTGACAACAGAACGCACGTTGCACGCACGGGCGGAACTCGGGGAAATCCCCCTATTTATTGCGTGTTTACATCCATAAAGTGTGTTTTTTCTTATAGAAGAAAAGTTATTAATGGCATTTCAAACCAAAGTTGTTGACAATCGAAACGCAAGGACATTTTTGAAATGGATACACCTACCGAACGAAGTCGCACGTGCACAGTGATAAATCCTAAAAGAGTATACCTTGCTAAAATGTAACAATTTCATATATCAGGCTACTGCATAAGTTCTGTCCGTTTAGAATTTTCAAGTGAAAAATATCGTAATTTCCTTCAAAATCAACATTTTGATAAGTTTAATTTCTATGAATTGAGCAAGCTTCTGGCTATCGGACGTATAATATGCCTGACGAAAAACGCTATTGTAGAAGAACCAAGATTGCAGAAATTTAGAAAAAATGAAGCAGTATTTTATTTCAACCTGTTTTTCTTTGACATGGTGACCTTACCCGTAAGAAATGGCAGGAATAATTGGTAGCCAATGGACAGCAAAATTTTTGAGATTATTTTACAGCAAAAAAGAGTCCTCACTACTCTTAAAACCTACAAATTCTTTTGAGCATAAAAAGCCGATTTTTTGAACATTTGTGCACGATTCATAGTCTTTCATTTCGGTTTTTAAATTGCCGCGAGCTTTAAAGAATTTCTGGTATATGGGCTTTGTAGCTCTTGCTTTACTCTTTCAACTACAATTTTCAACTCATCAGTTGTCTTCATTCACAGAATTGTATTGACTGTTCTCTCTGAAGCATTAATTTGATAAGAAATTCCACAAGCAGGACAACTGATTATTAGTAGATTAGTGCATATGTTACCACACTACACCTTTATTCGGCAAGCATTAAAAACCTAATTTGGCAGCAGCATTTAGATTCCTTACAAGCATTTGTTTTTTGGCAAAGACCATATTGCAGTTACTTGTGCTCTCGGGCATGAAGTCTTGTTAGACTGAAGATTTTTATAAATGTAATTTTTAAGAAGAGCAAGAAAAATGCATTCTAATGATACAGACATTTCCGTATTGAAACACTAGCTGGCAAACCTCGTCTATAACATTTTCGTAATCAGCATGCTACTTACCCCCTGCGCCAATTCCCGCCTCGGAGGTATAGAAATTTGCAAAAATCGATAAAATCGATATCGATCGATGACGAAAAGCATACAACATCTGCTCAGCTCCGAAATGTATGTGGGTGAAGTTTAGCCCAGATAGGCTCAGAAATGGAATTTTCTATTAGGAACATACGCACACACATACAGACAGACATATAGACATACAGATATACAGACAAACAGACATTCAGTTTTATATATAGGATGAAAATCTCCCAATATAGCCTCAAGGCAGAAAAATCGGACAAAACCTATGTAGCAGCCTAGTACTATTAGGTTGGAAGGTTGAGTTTTACACCGTAAATTAGAACATGAACGTTTCGAATTTTTGACATATTTTTTTATTAGACATATGTGCTGTACTTTTTCAGTTACCTGGTGTTTTATTTCAAACAGACTGTCAAATCAGAAAAATTGGAAATTGTGACTGCTTCTAGGGACAGGAGAAA